TCTGACAAGTATAGTTTAAAGTCTTCCGAAATAATCAGCAAATGCTTCTTAAATGGATCTTCTTCTCTTTGAAAATTTTTTAATATGTCTTCAATTTCATTAATTATAATTGGTTTTTGGCCCATTTCTTGTTGAAAACTCAATAGGAATTTAATCTATATGCTCAGGGAATATTAGCTCCAAAATTCTTATTAAAATATTGTCAAATTCTATTATTTATCCATGAAACCTGAAATTTTTATTAAGACAAACATATTGAGGCTTTTCTTAGTATAATAAAAGATTATATTTCTCTTATATTTTTTTATTATAAATTTTATGAATTTCTTTAAATCTAAATTTATTTGTTTTATTTATGGTTTAGGCTGAATCTCCTCCTAAAAAAATTCTTTATTAAGCAAGTAAACATAGGAGAAAAATTGATGCATAATTTAAATCTTAAATTTCATCAATAAATAAATAATGGAAATATCCTTTAGAATCATAATTTTTCTTATTTTTTTTAATAAAAACTTAATTTATGTGTTTAAACTTTTTTTTTACTTCATATATTTATTATAAAATATAGTTAAAAACATCATTTTAATAAAAAAAATTATTCTAATTTTTCCATTCTTAATATAATTTAGCAATAATGTAAATATTTTTTTTTATTCTAAATTTACAAACGACTTTTCTTTACCAATAATATCTAAGTAGTCATTTTTAGGAATCATTTAATGTTCGAATTTAAAGCTTGATTAATATCCTTTTTGTATATAATTTTTAATTATTTTAAATAAATATATTTTATTTATATATTATAAAATATAATTTAAGATAAACATATAAAAAAAAATATATATTTAATGTAATAGAAAACCTGTAATGTAAGATTAAATTTCCGAATATGCATTCATTAAATCAATATCTTTATTAATTTAAGGATATAATTATTTTAAGTATTAATTCCAAAAAATATTTTAGAAATCTTTAAAAGAAATTTCATTAAAAAAATTTTACTTGCATTTATAAATTTTTCCTCTTAACATTCTACCTGGCTAAAATTCTTAAATTTATCCAAAATCGTCTCTAATCAAAAACGGAGCACATAAATTTCCATCAATTAATTTTTATCAATGTTTAAAAATTACAAAACAAAGGATATTACTTTACTTGAGATAAACTATAAGCTTATTTTAGGTTTGTATTTGATGAATAGCTAGTTATGCTTTCGTAAAAAATTTAAACTTTTTCAGAAAGTACAGAAGAAAGAGTTACAAAACAAATTTTTAAATTATTTTATTATTTATGCTTTTTCTTAAATATTTGATTTAGTATACATATAGTCGATACTTCTGCAGTTGTTTTTACAGTCCCTGATCTTCCCAAAGCTATACAATTTACGTTTGATAAAATTAGTTTATTCTCTTCTTCACTTAATAATATTTTCTTAATGTCATATTTTTTTTCTTATAAGTTTTATAAAGCTTATTCCATAATATTTTACTAAAATATTTTATTAAGAAAATAACTTTTTATTATCCAAATTCATTATCCAATTCTTCATTTTAAATGTCAAATTTATTTTTTACATATAATTATAAATCGAAAATAGAAGGTTAACTTTACATATATTCTTTTTTTTCTTAAATTTTCTAACATTCATTTATTTATGTTTTTAATATTTATTCTTTAAAAGATTAGCTTATAAAATAATTTTTCAGCTTAATTAAAAATTTTATAATATAAATATATATATATATATATATATATATATATATTTTTATATATATTATATATATATTATATATATTTTTTTTTATACCAATTTTTCCTTAATATTAAGGTTTTTTTTTTAATTTTTAATTTAATTTATCTTCTAAAAGTTCTTAATTTAAATATTTTTTATAATTTAAAATATCTTTCATTTTTTAACTATATTAATCTTAATCATTACTAGAATATGTTATTTTTTATTTTTATTATTTTTAATTCAATGATAAATAATTATAAGCAAAATTATAGTATCTTTCTTCATCTTCATCTTCTTCTTATTTATATTATTATCCCAAATACATTTTTTAAAAAAAAATTTTTTATAGTTTTTAAACTTATTATTAATTTATTATTATAAAAATTTGTTAATTATATTTATAATATATTATATAATAAATTATTATTTTATATATTAAATAAATATAAATACTTATATTTTAATTTATTATATAAAAGCATGTATAAATTAATCTATTTTTATTTATTATAATAATTTATTTTTATAATAATTAATTTTTTTTTTTTCAATATATTTGCAATAGTAATTACTTCTTTTAATTTTTTTCTTTTATTTGATTTATTTATTTTATTTATTTAATAAAATTGTTAGAATTTTATTTTTATTTTTTTCATTGATTTTTTTTATTTTATTTTTTTAATTTACGCAACAATATACAACAACAAAATTTAATAAAATAAACCTGATATATTTCAAAAGTTTCTTTAACTTTCTAATGAGTAAATTAAAAATATAAAAACTTTCTAAATAATAATTAATTATTTTGGATTTAAAATAAAAATTAAATGAAATAAATATTTATTTATTTTCTAATATATTTTAACTTTTATTATTGAATAATGATAATTTAAATACGATATTTTATATTATGACTTTAATATAAAAAAATATAGATAAGTATTTTCTGTCTTTTAAATGTGTAATAAAGAAAATCAATATTCTAAAAAAATAGATATTTATTGTTTAAAGTTCTTGGATAATTAACTTTTAATTTAAACAATAAGATTATTATTTATATTAAAAATAAAAGAATAAATAAATTATTATAAAATACATAAAGTATATATTTACTATAAATATTTAAAATAAAAAAATTACAAAATATATTATTTTATTTTAATTTTTTATTTATTTATATAAATTAAATAGTAATTAAAAAAAAATCCGAATTCCCGGGTTCGAACCGGGGACCACCGGATGACTACATAACTTTACAGTCCGATGCTCTTCCAACTGAGCTAAATTCGGTTTGTTAACATGTTTCTTTAGTTTTTTCAAAACAAAATTAAAAAAAATCACATTTTTTGTAATATAATAAATATCTTTATTAAAGAAAAAAGTATAAATTCATTAATATTAGAATTTTATTTTATGAATTATTTATAATATTTTTATTTTATATTTATTATATAAAAATAAATACAAATAAATATTTAGTTATATTAATATATGAATTTATCATCATTTTTTTTAATAATTTAAAATGATAAATATTTTTTTTAACAAAAATAATATTTTAGCTTCAATTACACAATTGTTTTTGTATCGAAGTCATCCTATGTTTTGGCCTTTTTTGTACTTCATCAAACCTATTTTAAAGTATTGAATCGTTATTTTCTTCCATTAAATATGCTTAAATTTGATTTGATTTAATTTAACTTTTCAAATTACTAAAAGCCTTAGTACCAATTAATTATTTTCTTTTCAAATTTTTATCAAACGAAGAAATATTTTATTAGAATTCATTACATAATTTAAATATTTTGTTAAATTATTTTTCTTTTGACTCATAAGATTTATGCTCTTTTTAATTATTTGTTAAATTGCCGAAATTATTTCTTTATTTGCTATTTCTTGAAAAATTATAATTTTAATTTATATGTTATTTCCCTATAAATTAATTTAAGGATTAAGAAAGTTTTTTATCTCGTTTCCATTTTCATCATAAGAATAAATCATTACTTTTTTCTCCTTTTTTTACAAACCTATTTTTTCCATATATTATTTTATCTAATTATCTCTTCTAATTTAAGTTTACATTGTATTTTCTTAACTTGCAATATTTTTTGTTGTTTAAGATTATTCTTATTAATTTTTAGTTATTTCTTATTTAATATTAGTTTTTTTAATCTAAAATTATCTACTGTTTTCTAAACTAATTTAATTTGATGATTTTGTATCTTTCATTAATGCTTTTTCTTGTTGTTTATTTTAAATTTTAGTCTCTGTTTTAGCTTAATTATTAATAATATCAATATCTTGAAATATTTTATCAATTTCTTTATTTGTTTATATAATTTTATTATTTATTAATTCTATGTTATTTTAACTACTTGATTTTACTTTTTTTATAAAGTAGCAGCTTTATTTTATTTCTATTTCATCAAACCATGAACTAAATTTTAAATAATAGAAGATTCCATATATATATATATGAAACAAAAAATGCTTTATTTTTTAAATTAAAAAAAAAATATTTAAATATAAAAAAAAATTATTAAGTATAAATTATAATTAGTATAAAAATTAAATATATATTAAAATAATATAAAAAAATGAACGATACATATATTCATTTCCAAGATGATATAAAATATGATAATGATATAAAATAAAATAACGAAGGTTAATAATCAAAAGCTGACATAAAAAAAGAGAATACAAAAACAAATTTTAACTAAATAAACAAGAACATAAAAAGTTTTAATAATATATAAAAGAAAAGCAATAAAAATAATAATAATTCTACGAATAAAATGGCAATTAACAATAAAAATTATTAAATTCTAAAGAAAAAAGTTTTAATTAAATAAACAAAAGAAATTTTGCTCCAAATAATTTCTAAAAAAATAATAATATTCAAAAATAAGAATAATTTAATCAATTAGAAAAGGCTGAAAAATCTTTTTTGCCGAAAAACACAGAAAATATTGAAGATTAGCAAGAATTCTAAAAACCCCAAAAATTTCCACAAAAAACAAAAAAAATCCAAAAGCAAAGAGACAAAACTTTCGAACATTCTAATTAAAAAAAAACTAAAAAATTTGTAAATAAATACGAAAATAATAACAAAGATTAATAATTAAAAGATCTAATAGATCCTTTTACAAACTAAGAATAAGAAATTTAAAAAAACTCTATTTTTACTACATAAACATTCGAATAAATATCCGAAATTCATCAAAAAATAAAAAATTCTTTACAATTAAGTCATTTTGAGAAAATGACAAATATCCAAAAACAAGGTATTCCAGCAATTATTTAAGGCTAAAATATAGTTTTAAAAAGTGAAACTGGGTCAGGAAAAACACTAACTTATTTAGTTCCTTTAATATCTAATTTATTACATTTAGGAGATTAAAATAAAGTAATTTTTTAAAAAATACAATATATATATATAAATAATTTTTAGATAAGCAGAAACGATGGATCATATATATTCGTCATATGCCCAACAAGAGAATTATGTATTTAATGTGAAAACGTGGCTAAATAAATAACTTTAAAATCAACCTTTATTATCACAGGAACATTAATAGGAGGTGAAAATCCCAAAAAAGAAAAAGCACGTCTCCGAAAAGGAATTACAGTACTATTCGCAAGTCCAGGAAGAATTCTATATCACCTCAAAAACACTTAATCTTTTGTTTTTGATAAACTTAAGTACTTAGTTTTTGAAGAAAGTGACCGTACATTAGATATGGGATTTTAAAAAGACCTCGAAGAAATAGTTACTGTTTTACAGTAAAAAATAGACTTCGAAAAAGTTCAAAAGATATTAATTTCAGCCAATTTTAATGATGATATAGAAGCTTTATATTTAAAAATGTCCATCTAAAGTATAAAATATATAGGGTTTTCTAAAAAAAATCAATAAAATGAATAAAATCTAATAAAAAGTGAACAAAAATATGCAGTTCCGGAGTCTTTAATATAATATTATACACTAGTAGGAGAGGAGCATCGAGTTGCTTTTCTTCTTTCTTATTTGAGAATGTTAACAAATACCAAAAGTATAATATTTGTATCCACTTGTGATGAAGTAGAGTATTTTTCATTTTTAATTTAAAATATGACTTTTAAAGATTCTAATGGAGAAGTTCTTTAAGGCGAAACATTTTTGGGAGATATCAAAGTTTTTATTTTGCACGGAAACATTTAATAAAAAGTAAGATCGGAGACATATTTTAACTTCAAAAAATACCAAGGAGGGGCTATTTTAGTCTCCACAGATGTAGCTTCGAGAGGTTTGGATTTTCCAGAAGTTACCCATTCGATATTGTTTGATGCGCCTACTAGTATATCTGAATATTGCAATAGAATAGGAAGAACTGCACGTATTGATTCTAAAGGAATTTCCTTATTAATTTTAAATAATGTCGAAAAGCCTTATATAGACAAAATGAGAGAGTTTAATATCAATTTAAAGTCTTTTAATGACGAGTTAGTCATAGAAGCTACTCAGGAGTTAATATAAAAGAAATATAATATTAATATGGATGCTTTTTAATATGTAGAAAGTCTCATTAGATAATGTACTAGAAACGACAAAAGTAAATATATTCTTGCAAGAAGGGCTTATGTGAGTTCTTTGAGAGCTTATGCTATGTTAAAAGATAAGGATATTTTTAGAGTCAAATTATTAAATTTGAAGGCTTTAGCAAAAGGGTTCGGAGTAGGAAATGTAAAGGCTGGAAATGAAACGAAATCTGATAGATATTAATAAGAACTTGCAGAGGCAAATAAGAATCGATATGATAAAATGGAAAGGTTCTTTAATGAAAAGGCAGAAAGAGTTAAAAATTAAAGAAAACCAATGAATACTAAATAACTTTTTAATATGGAGTTTATGTGATTTTTTAATATATTATATTAAAATTTATATAGAAATATATTTTTATTATATTTATTTATTAAAATAAAATAATTAAAATAAATAAAATAATTATAGGACAAAAAAAATAAAAAAATTGATTTTAGTTTCAAAAAAATATATAAAATAAAAATATAAAAGATGTAAAAGAAATAATATTATTAAAAACCTAAAAGGTAAAAATATACAAAATTATAAGATTTGCTTAGTTATAATTTTAAAGAGAAAACAATATAATGTGAGTAATAAGTTTATGTAGTAAAAGTATATATTAAAAATTATTTTTAAGTATTGTTTTTAAAAAATATAAAATAGAAATAAATTAAAAAAAATAAAGTGTGAAAGAAATATATATATTATAAAATTATAGTAAAAAAATTAAATAAAAAATACAAAAAAAAATATATATATGTATTATGTATATATTTATAAATTATATATGTATATATGTATATATATATTTATATATAATTCTTTATATATTATTATATATATGTATATATTTATATATAAATTTTATTTATATATGTTTATTTTATTTTTATTTTATTTTTTATTTTAATATATTATAATTTTTTTTTTTCTATTTAGTTTAACCTATTCTAAAAAAATTAACAAATTTTCATTTTTATTTGTCTTTAATTACGTCGTTTTAAAATTTTATTTTTTATTAACTTTAAAAATTCGGTTTTTTTTAACATGTTTTAAACACATGTATTTTATTATGAATATTTTCAAAACTATTTTCTAATGTATTGTACATATTTATACTTGTTTAATCTACATTCTGTCCTTAATATATTATTTAATTTGTATTATTTTATATATTGAATTCACTGCTTATTCTTTTTTCAATATATTATATTTATTTTAATATTTATAGTTCTGACAAATTTTCTTATTTTTTTTTCTAATTTTCCTAATTTAAATCTTTTTCAATATTTTTTATATCATTATCAAATATTATTCTACTTTTACTTTTCTAAGATTAATTATTTTAAGTTAATAAAAACTAATCATAATTACTCAAACCTTCCACTAAACTACTCATTTATTATTTTTTTATTTAACAATCTTTCATTAATCTTCTCAATAATAGTTCTTTTTATTTATATAAAAATTTCTAAGAAATAAAAACTACAAAATCAAACGCTAAAACAACACCCACAGCAAAAAAAGTTAATAAATAAAAATGGACAGCCTAGAATAGCAATACTGGAGTCAAATAAACTTAGCTAAATTTAATATTTTAAGAAGCAAATAAAAAACCATAATATAAAGCTAAGCTTGTCCCAAAAAAAGCAAAAAAATTTAATATTGTCCAATATCGAGTAAATATAGCTATTTTTATATCTGCAACCTGTATAAGTATATTTTTATATATTTAATTTTATTATTTTAAAAAGAAAATATTACTAAGATTATTGATGTAAATATAATCAGAGAGAATTACCAAAAATCATTTGAATAACCTTTTTTATAGAAAGTATTTACATCAAAAGAAATATATGTTGTTATAAAAATCAAAAAGCTATGTATTATTCCTTATATAAGCCAAGAAGCGAAATTAAAATCAGAAAAAATCGTTTTTTATTAACCTATATAATATAAACTGGGTATTTTTTTAATTGTGTATTTTTCTTTTTTTTCAATATTTTTTTATATTTCAAAGTTTAATTGTCCTTTTTTTAATAAATTTATTTTCATTTTATAATTAACATCCTAATCAAAAATCGCCCTAAAAACTAAAGGACCTGCTGTAAAACTTAAATTATATAAAGTTATATAAATATCATCGAAAATGGTTTAACCACTATATTAATTAAAAAATGAAAAATAAAATTATGGTATTGTAAAAATCCTTTTTTTTAAAAAAAAATGTATTATATATAGTTTTTTAAAATATTTAATTTATACATATTCTTATAAAAAAAATATAAAATCATTTCTGAAATTCTTATATAAGACCATCTTCCATGTATTAAAAGTAATCTCCATAAACATTTAAATTCTCCAAATGAAAAATCTGAATTTTAAGCAGCTTACATACCTTCATTTCCAAAAATACCACAACCTATAAAAAAATAATTTAAAAATTATTTTAAAAATACCTATATTAGCTTCTTATATCATATTAACATCATTTGCCCCATCTCCTATAGCTAATGTGATTTTATTTAGTCCTAATTTAACCATTCTTACACATTCTGCTTTTTATTTAGGTGTAACTCTACAACAAACAACCGATTCACAATATTTAGAAATCTACAAGAAATTATTTTATAGTTCTTTATCATTAAAAATAGTAACTAAAGATTCTCCTTCTATGACAATGCATTTTTATTATTTATTGAGCAAGCAATATTATATAATTTCTAATATCTCGCCTTATAATACTTTTTTTAGTAAGTCTTTATCTTATTCCTATATTTTTATTATTAACATTTAATTTTGAATTAAATTGCAACTTTTTGCGATATTTTCAGCTGTTTCTAATTTATCTCCTGTAAGCATCCATATTTTAATTTCTTTTTTTTTTAAACAAATAAAATAAAATAATTATTTTATAAAAAAATAATTGTTTATTTTTTTACTTTTATTTACATGCTTTTATCAAATCCTATATTGTTTCTGCTACTTTATCTTATAGTTTATCTTCTACAGCCGTTGCACCTATTAATATAAAATTGTTTTCTATTTCATCAGCTAATTAATCTATATATATAAATATATAAATATTTAAAATATATATAGTTTTATTTTCTTTATATATATATTACTTAATTATTCTTCTCTATTTTAAGAATCTAAAAAAGATTCATATTTTGACTTAATGATTAAAAATTCTTCTTCACTTAAAATTTTCATTGCTAACATAAGTGTCCTTAAACCTATAAGACTAAATTATTCCAAATAAGTGTCTATCTATTTTAAAAACAACTAACTATAATTTAATCTTTATTTAATAATATTATCAGCTCCTTTTATGTACATTTTGTAAACTCCTTAATCATTAACTATCACTGACATTCTTTTTCTTGTAGAATCGAATTAAAAAATATATAAAAGTTCTATTTTTTTATCATTACCAAGTATTTTTAATTTTATAAAATCATTAAAAATACCCAAAAACTTAAATCCTATGCAATTTGCAGTGCTCACAAGCGCTATTTCATCAGGTGAAGGTCCCTAGTATTCAACATTAGTTTTATTTTCTGTATCTTTTTAAATTACGCACTCATGAGTGCATGAAATGAGTTAAAAATACTCATAAGCTAGTTCATTTTGAAAATTTAGAACATAATTTTATTTTTCATCCTCTGATTTTAAAATTAAACTTTAAGCAAAATCTCCTTCTTTATTTTCCAATAAAAATTAAAGTTCCTAATTTTTAAATTCTTAAGAATCATTTTCTTGCTAATTTTAATAAAGTCTTTCCCCAATAACACTTTTTGCAAAAATCATCTAATTACAAGTCAAAGTACCAGTTTTATCTGTAAAAATATACTCTACTTAACCCAATTCTTCATTAATTGTTGTTGTGAGTACTTTAGGCCAAACATCTTTTTATTTGCAGTACATTTCTATATCATTTTATATGAAAAAACCTTAAGTTACTTTTACTATTTCTAAAGAAACAATAAGGGATATTGGAATCATAGTATTATAAAGTAGAAAATAAGTAAAAAACCTCAATAAACTAGATATGGAGTATGAACTTGGATTTTTTTCGTCTTTTAAATACCAATGATTTACCTCATTGTTTGATATATAGAAATTATTTAATAAAGCAGTTAGTATTGAACACAAGATTTGAAAAAAAAGTATCCCTTTAAAAATATAGAAATATATTTTATTTTTTTAAATTTACCTAAAATAAATATATTCATAACTTTTTCTACATTAGAGACTTTATTTTTATTATTTTCTGAATTTTTCATTATTTTAGTATCATTTCCTGTATATATTACACAAGCAATAACATATTCGGTATTTCTTAAAAAAGCTCCTCTTGGAAGTAATTATTTAACAGTAATTAAAAGTTTTTTGCATATATTATTAGATTATTATTAGGATACAAATTTCGAAGAAGTTTCATAATTATTATTTTACAGTAGAATGTTTTAATCTTAAAGATAAGTTTTTTGTTGACTTTGATTATAAATAAGCTTTTTTTTATTATTATTATTTTATTATTTAATTCTATTTACCTATATAAATATATATTTTATAAAAATATATAAATATATAAATACATACATCATCTTATACTTCTATAAAACCTTCAAGTCTATATAAATTTTAATTAGGCTGTTCATATCCGAGTATCATTTACTCTAAAACATTTAAATTATAATTTTTAAAAATTTAAATAGTCTCCTTAATAGCCTGTTTTTGCTTTAAGTTTTTCTCCCCGTCTAAAGCCCCAGTTTCAATATAGCAAATTCCATTTTCAAAAGCAGAATCCAAAACTAGCAAATCTGCCGGAAACGATTCATTATTTTTAACTTTTATTAAATTTCCAACTTCTACATTTGCCCAGGTAATATTTTACTCATAAAATTTGTTGTTTTCATCTAAAATTAATTATGTACTTATACTTGAATTTACTTATTTATCATATTTATGTCTATAATAATCTTCTAATCCTTCTCTTATTATTGAAAGTCCTAAAACAAATACTAAAGGAAAAATTGCTGAAACAGGATTTAATGGGGAAACAATTGGTATTGATTAAAGTATAGCTATAAATAAGAAATATATGTTTGCATGTCTTTAAAATTATAATAATAATGATAAAGGCAAAAAATTGTATATTGTGTAATGTGAAGATACAATAAAATTTGAAGGAAATTATGTTTTTTTATTTTTATCTTCTTTTTTTATATTTATTTTTATTTTACGAGGTTAGTTATACTATAATGGTTATCTGTTTAAACACATATTTATAACTTTTTTTCTTATTTATAAATAATAGTATAAATATGATTATATACATGGAAAATAATTAAAATATTATATATTCAAATTAAAGTATTTATTAAAAAAAATTGCTTTTAAATATTACATTTATTAAAAGACAATTAAAAAAAATATATTATATAATATTTTAATTATATTTATTTAAAAGATAAAAATAAATAAATATTTTTGTTTGTTTAAAAATACAAAATACAAATAAATTTAATTAAAATATTTTAATGAAAAATCATTAAAATATAAATTGAAATTAATAATTAAATATACAATTGAAAATAAAATCATGATTAAAATAAAAAATAAAAATATTAATCAATTAAAAACAACTAAAATATAAAAAAGTAATATTTAAAATAAAAATATAAAAACTACAAATAATAAAAAATTAATCGATTAAATAAGTAATAATTATAAAAAAAAATACAAATAATAGACACCAAAAAGAAAAAAAAAAATGGGTAATAATTGTTGTTCAAAATTTAATTTATTACATAAAAATTCTTCTATAAAATATGATAATTAAAAAGTAATAGATTAATAGGAGTATTATTCATTAAATACAGACCAATCATTTATAATAAAGCACTACCCGAAACATACGAAAACCACCATCCATATGATTAATATTTAAAGCTAGCAAATTTAGGTGAAGGTGCTTATGGACAAGTATTATTAGTAAAAAAAAAATCAAATCATAAATTATATGCAATGAAAGTAGTAAAAAAAGAGGCAGTTTCAGGAAACGCAAAAATGATCGAAGCCGCTTTATTAGAAAAGAAAATTCTAATGAAAAGCAATTGTCCATTTATAGTAAAATTAGTCTAATCTTTTTAAACTTAAAAAAAACTTTATATTATTATGTAATATATGCCTAACGGAGATTTATATTCCGTTTTGTAAAAAGTAAAAAAATTTGATGAACACACATCTAGATTTATTATAGCCGAAGTAAAAATATATAAAAAAGTAAATATACACATATAAATAATAAATATTAAAGGTTGTTTTAGGAATATAATATTTACATGAAAAATAATAATCAATGTATAGAGATTTAAAACCTGAGAACATATTAATTTCATAAAATGGGCATATAAAATTAGCTGATTTTGGTTTAGCTAAAGAATTTGCTAATGAAAAAGAAAAGGAAAATGCTTTATTAGTAACTCCATATTATTTAGCACCTGAAGTAGTTTAGAAATAACCTTATGATAAAAACATTGATTTATGGACTTTAGGTGTTTTGACATATGAGTTATTATGTGGACTTCCTCCTTTTGGATTATAAGGTTCAAAAACACTATATGAGGAGATTGTTAGAAATCAACCAATATATACATACCCTTTTTTTTCTGAATAATCTTTAGATTTTATCAAAAAATTACTTCAAAACGATCCTTAGTAAAGATTAGGAAGTAAAGGATTCGATAGTTTAAAAAAGCATCCTTTTTTCGAAAAAATAAATTGGGAAAAATTAGCAAAAAGATAAATAGAAGCCCCTCTATGTAAATATTTAAGCAAAAAAAAAATGGAGAGATAATATAGATTAAAATCAATATACGAAACTCCAAAAGGAGATTGCTAAAAATCTATTATTTTTGAAGGTTTTACATATAATTTAGATCCATTATTAAAAGAATGAAAACAAAAAAAATAATGTAAAAAAAAAAACTAATACATACATGCATACATATATTTAAAAACTCATTTATTATTTAAAAAATAAATTAATTATATTCTTAGCTTCTCTCACTCCAGTATCATATGCGCCATTTAAAGTAGCAAAATATACATTATTAGTAGCTTCTCCTGCGAAAAAGACTTTGTTTTCTATATTTTATGCCAATATATTCCTAATATTTGTAGGTGCGAAACTGGCATATGAATAAGTACCTTCTATATACTTAATTTATGAGTATTCTGTCCATAAATAATCTTCAAGTATTTCCTCAGTTTTAACTTTATAAATGTTATTTAATTTCTAGAGCATTTCTTTAATTAAAATTTTCCTTTTTTTTTCATCATTCATATCCTCACCAATTTACCCGGAAATCAAGCAGCACAAAACAAATGATTTATCACTTCTCAAAAAAGAGCAATCCCATAAAAAGCCAATTTTACTTCTTAAAAAAATCATCCCAGTATTTTCTCCCCAAAACCTCTTTTAAAACTTCAAGTGTAGCTTTCCCCCTTTCCCCATTTTCAATAAATTAATAGCTCTTTTTTTTTCTAAAGGGATTTCCGGCATAAACTATATTGAATTATTCTACAATTAGCTCAAAGGAACTGTAATTATAACTGCATTACATACATAAATAGCCTAATCAGCTGTTTTTATTTCCACTAAATCATCTTTTAGATAGTTAATATGCTCCACTGCCTTATTATATTTTATTAAAGCAATCTCTTTTTCAAAAGCTTTACCCAAAACATCAAAATGAGACATATTTTAGACCAAAAAATTATCGTCGTGGTCACTTTACCATCCCTAATCATACTCAATTTAAGCCTTAACTGACATTTATTTTAATTCGCATCCGTTTTCTGCTCCCCAAAAAGGCTCATAGATCTCCAAAAAAGATTCATTTAGTCCATTTTTTTAAAAAAAATCTTAGACATTTTCATTATAGTCTATATTTTCGACTTATTCAACAACTTTATCATAAAATTCATTTAATTTATATTTTTCGAAAAATTTCTCCCTTTCAACTAGTTTTTCTCCGTTTATATCTTCTATATAATGTATTAAATTAGTATCAGGTAATATTTTAGCACCTACTCTTAATACTAAATCATAATATAAACTGTTTTTTATATGGATTTCCTCAGCACCAGTCTCAATAGGAAAATCGGGAACAAATTCAGTGTTTTTAGATATTCTACCGCCATATATAGGCCTAGCTTCGAGTATTTTCACGTCGAAAAAATCGCTTTTTTTTAATAGTTCATGAACAGCGGCTAAACCTGATATTCCTGAACCTATAATGATTTATTTTTTTTTTATTTATATTAATTTACGTTTCCATATTTTTATTATTTTATGTATTTTGGTTAAAAATAATTAATTAAAACAAATAGATAATTTTAAATATTTTATTAATAGTCTCATAATTTTACACTTATCTTTTAATTATATTAAATTAAAACATTAGAAAATATAATGAATTCTTAATATCCAGGGGTTGGTGTAGGAGTATTTATTTTCAATTAAAAAATGGACAAATTCTTAATGTCAAAAAGAAAAGATTGCTCCAAAATGGCTTTAATAGGGGGTCATTTAGAAAATTTGAAGAAATAAGAGAATGTGGAAGTAGGGAAACATTAGAAGAAGCAGGAATTAATATAGAAAGTGACAAATTCGTAATTTTAAAAGATGTAATTAATGTAATAAGATAAGAACTAAATTATCATTATGTTAGCTTTTTTGTTGGGACAGTAGTTTAAGACGGTTATCTTTTTAAAAATACAGAACCGGAAAAACATGAAGATTGGGAATGGTGCGATTAGGAAAATTTTGAAAGGTATTTTAAAGAAAATATGCTTTATTATGCGCTTAATGATTTATATATTTTTCATTAATAAAATTTCGATAATATGTTATAGTATTTTAGAAAATAATTAAAATGTATTCAAAAATGAAAAAAAAAAAAAAAGTACAGATATATGTATTTTATAAGATAATTTTACATATAAATATATTTATTTTTTAATTAAATATATTTATATATCTATATTAATAAATACAATTTTATTTTACTTTTAATGAAATATATACTTTATTATTTTATTTTTTGTATAAACATATAATATATATATATATATATATATATATATATATATATATATATATAATATTTTTAATTCTATAATTAATTTATTTTTTATATAATACTTTTTTATTTTAACATTAGTTTTTTTATTTTTTCATTATTGTATTTATTCTTTATAAGAATGTATTATTGATTTATTTTTGAAAGCCAAAAAAATTCTTTTTCCAATTTACTAAAATAATCCTAATTAAATCATTTATTTTAAATAAGGAATATATTATTAAATAATATGAAAATCGAATTTCATGATATAATTTACACACAATTTAACATTATATATTTGAATATAAAATTTATTTCTATCTTATCTATAATAAATGGCTATTATTTACTATGGTCTTAATGTCAAAATACTTCTAAATAGAAGTTAATAAAATCTATTTAATATATAATTATCTTAACTAAGAATATTTAATTTATTGTTAATTTTAATTTTTAAGGGTATAGTTTTTTAAATTTATTAAATTATTTAATTATCAAATAAACTAAATCTCAATTAGAATTTTTAATAATAATTATATAGTTTATTTTCCCTTGAATATTTCATTTTCAATTAATCAATTAAATATTAAGATATTTTCTCAAAATCATTTAAATTATAAATATAGTCGCTAATAGTTTTACTTTTATTCATAAATTAAATATTATTTTCACATTAATATATCTACATTATGCTTTTTAGGTTTATTTTTTCATTTATTTAGAATTTTTATTTCTTTAAAATATATATTCTTACATAAAAGTCACATTTTTAACATTTTTAATCTTCCTAAAGTTTCAAACCTAAATTATAACTAAAATTGGATTAAGTCTCATTTTTATTTCTTATTAAAGCCTAAAACAATATGTTTTCTTTTTCGGATAAATTAACAAGGCTAATATTTAAATATTCTCTTACAATTCCATAAAAATTATCTATTTATAATATAACTTTTCCATATCCATAATTAGTAATATTTGTATATTATATTAATTAATCCCAAATCTTTTTTTTTTTTAAAAAAAAATATATAAACCTATATATATACTAATTATTTATTTGTTTATATATTTTTAAATATAAATTAATTTATTACTGCGATTTCAATAAATTTATATTTTTTATTAAATAAATTAACAAACTTATCTTTATTAATATAAAAACCACTTCTATTACAACTTTCTTATTATTTTTTTTTATCAGTTTTTTTCAAAATAATAAAATTATTATCTAAATTACTAGTATTTAAATTTTTTTCATTAAAATTTAAACACGAAAATCGTTCTTAAAACTTTTAATAGTTTTTAAACTTCAAAAGTTCATCTAAGTAACCATCAACAATGTTTTCCTTTATTACATTGTTCATAAAATTATTCGAGAATTAATAAATATTATAAGAAGTGAGTTAAATAACAAATTTTCTGCAATTTTATTGAATATAAATTTATAAATAATATTATTCTATTTAACTATAATAAACTACAGTAATAATACAATAATAATTAAGTATTTTTTTGACTCCTTAATAAATTACTCTTTCTCCTTTTTATTAAATATTCAAAAAAGATGTACATGAAAGTTCCTTTATTCCTTTTATTTCAAAAGGCTTTTTTTTATTTAAAAAATTTTTTTTGTTAAATAAAAAAAAATATTAAATTTACTCTTATATTATAATTATTAGATAAAATATATTATTTTTTATAAATCTATTATTTGACGATTTTTTTTAATGGAATACATAATTTTTTATAAAGCATTATCCTTTAAAATTTAATACTAGAACATATTTGTTAAATAATTTATTAAATAATATTTTATTCAAAGCAATTATTATAACAAAACTCTTAACTATATAAATTATTTATATCACTTTATTCCAATATAAATTTATATTATTTAGTCCTCTAATATTTAAAAGGATGTATATCTAAAACAAATAAAACAAATTCTTATAAATTCATTTACTTTATAGACCTTAATACATATATTTATACATATATAGTTTCACAAGACTTCAACTTCCACAAAATAGAAAATCTCTTTAATTCAAAATATCCGTTAATAAATAGATTTTGGTCTAAAGTATTTTTATTATTAAAATCCAAACAACAAAGTTCATATTTCAAATATTAAAGGGAAAAAGTACTTAAATTTTTAGCATAAAATTCTTACAAAATTATTTCTTTTATTTTTTATTTCATTTATTAAATTTTTTTTTCAGAAACACTTTATTTTCTTTGACTTTTTAATTGCCATTTATAACCGTTTATTTGTTATATTTTTATTATTAATTAATAAGATATTATTTTTTTTAATATATTTGAATTTAAATAGTTTATTTTAAAAAACTTTTAAAATAGAGAATCGTTTTTAGATTTAATTCTGAGTTTTATTTTTTTATTAAAAGAAAAATAATAGAAAATAAAAAATTAATTTTAAAAATCTTATTTTAAATATATTGTAAATTCACTTTTTTATAATATTATTTGAATGCTTTTTATATTTTATTAAATTTTATATTTTTAAATCTTAAATTAGTTATTTTCTGCATTGTTTTGAATTTCTTGAGGCAAAATGAATTTTTTTATATAATTTTAATTTTAATATTAATAATTAATATTATAATATTTATATTTTCTATGTTTTTTCTTATTAATTTTTTATTCTTCTTTTTCTAATTATTTCTATAAAATTTATATAAAAATATTATTATTTGCCTATATTAATTTTTATTTCAAAATAATTTAATTAATTTAATAAAAATAATAATATTCATAAATTTCAGAATCATAAAAATCTTAATTTAAATAATAATCGAAACAAACTTTAAAATTTATATTATTTTCCTTTTATTAAAAAATTCGTTTTCTTTTTTTTATTAATTTTCTTTATTCCTCAAAATTATTCAAAATTAGTTAAAAATCAGAATTTATTATTAAATATTTATTAAGTTTTTATAAGATAGACTTTTTCTATTAAACATTAAAGCCTATATTTAAAATAAACTACTAAATATCAAATTATTTAAAGAAATTTTAAATAAAAAATTTATAATCATAAATAATTTATGAACTCTTAAAATTTTTAACATTAATTACTTTTAATGTAAACTAAGAATATTTTTTGGCTAATTATTTATTTAACATATTTTATAAACATTCATGGAATTAAAAGCATATTTCTACAAAATAAATCTATTTATTTTATTTTACTGTACCTCTAACTAATAAATCATTATTTTAAAAAGGATTTATAGTGATTTTTTTTTGTTATTATTTAAAAATTCTATTAATATTTTATTAAGACTAAACTATATTAATATTAAAATATTGCTTTTATACCTATTTATTATTTTTCAAAAAAATTAGTAATATATATAAAATATTTTTATTTTTTTTGATAATTATAAAATATTAATGAAAATACAAAATCTACAAAAAATAGTAATATTGATATTATATGTATATAAAATATACACTAAGTTATTATCTTTCAGATCTATTTAGACTATTATTGAATTAATATTAACTATAATCAAATTGTTCATAAGAATTCTAATAATTAACCTAACTAACTTATTTAGAAGAGGCAAATTTGCTATTCATTTATTCCGAAAGCTGTATAGATTTTATTTCTTTACTTTAATTATTTCTAACAGCCTCTTCTTATTAAACTGAGGCATTTAAATTTTCATTTGCATATTTACTAAACTTACTTTTCGTACTTTTAACCGACTTAAAAGAATTCATTCTTCTAAAATTCTTATTATCACTATTTTATTTTATTTAAGTTTATTTCTATCTACTAGAATTTTCATAAATGTTATCTTACTAACTATTAATAATACTATTTTCGTTTATATCACTCATTTATTGGGTTAAAGAATATTTAAATTATTAAAGAGTTAAACTACTTAGTTCACTATTTTAAGGTTATTATTTTAAGGATTAATTATAAAATTTTTTTGGTTAAAACTCGTTTTCTGCATTAATAATTATACTATAATTGCTATTTTCCTAATATTCATTTTAAATTATATATTAATTACTTTCATTCTCTAAAGAAAAGGATTCATAAGTATAAGAATTTATATTAGGAATTATACTTTACTTTTTTAACTCTATTTAAGATAAAATATGTTTTGCTGGTTTAGGATCTTTACAAAAATTATCTTAAATCTAATTATTTTCTTAATTTTAATTTGGTAAAATATGAAAAGACTTAGTTTTTCGATTATTTATTTTCCAGGCTTTAATAATTTTTTTTGATACAGTTTTAGTTATTTTTAAAGGAGACTGCTTTTTTATAATATAATTTTATTTTTATTTTATAATTAGAGTTTATTAAGAATTTTATAATTAAAATTAATTTAATTAAGATAAAATAGCTCTTTTAAGAAAAGATTTTTAATTCTATTTTATAAAATAAATTATTAATATATATATATATATATATATATATATATATATATATATATATGTATATATAAACAAATATTTATATTGTATAAATTTTTACTTTATAAATTCTTATTATCCTTAATTTTTCGCAATAATTAGACATCATTTTATTATTTACAACTTGAAAAGATTAATTGAACTAAATAACATTTCCATTCAATTTTTTTTAATAGTAGTAAGCTTAGTCAATAAAAAAATCAACTAATAAATAAGTTCTTCTATTTTTTGAATTTCATCTTTCGAAAGTACATTTTTCAACTCACTTGGAATCATAAACTAAGGTTAAAAATTTTTATATTTTAATTCTTCAATAAAAAGAACTTTTAATTCTATTAAATTATGTAAAATAAGCCATTCATCTATAATAAGTTAGGCAAATGCAAACTAAGTTTTTATATTTTGCAAATGTAAAGAAAGATTCAAATGTTTTTTTACTTTAAAAAATAAAGGATTATCAATCACTTAAGTTCCTATTAAGCTTTACAAATTCAACATGAGTGTAATTTCATATATATTATTGACTTTTTTTTCTGTTTATTATTATTCAAATAATTTTGTTTTAATATAAATCTTTGAAATATCCCATTTACACGTTAAATAATCAAAGTAAGATTTATAGAAGAAAAGAGGGAACATACTCAGCTTCTGTATATTATTAATTACGAATTTTAATTTCCTTTAACTGATTTCTGGTATTTCCATATTTATTTAAATTTCTCTGTCTTTTTTTTCTAAATCTTATATTATATTAATAGTAGGATTATTTTCGATTTTTTTTTGTTATTTTTTATAAATTTCATCATCGTTTTGATAATATTGCGAAAAATTAAGACTTTAGAAGCTTTATTAAGTTTAAGTATTTAATTTTTAGATATGTCCCTTTGTTATTATTTTATCTACTTCATGTTAAAAATTATTTTCGCCTGGTAAATTAAAATTGGCCAAGTTTTATTATTGATTATATGTATTTTATAATTCGTTTATTATTTAGTTTTTTTAGTTAATTCTACGACTTTTATTTCTTTATTTTATTATTTGCTTTGTGTTTAGCTTATTGTAATTGATTTAATTTAACTTTTTCCCCCTATTTTTCCACCAGGATTATATTACTTTAGCACTTATTACTTATTCTCTTTGATTGTATTAATTTTAAAAAACCGAATAAAATTTTGATTCTGTTTACTTAAAATATATATATATTTTAAGATACTAATAAATATAAAAAAAAATACCTAATTATGTGTATCACTATGAATTAAATTTTGAATTAAATTATTATTAAATATAGTGTTTTTAGAAATTTCTTTTAAATCAAAATTTAATTTTAAATTTTATTCTTTTTTTTAATATTTGTCAAATAATTCTTCTTAAATATTTTTAATAGATTCATCTATTCTTATAGTACTAATTATTTTAGATTATTAATCACAATTCGGAGTATATTTTTATATTTCTTTATTATCCTTATAAATAATTTAAATTATAAAATAAATATATAATAATAAAGAAATACACTTTTATTTTAATTAGAATATCCGCTTCTCGTTAAAATATTATTTTTATTTTTTGTGTCTTAATTTAAATTATCTATATTAGAAAATTAGGAGTTAATTAGTCCTATTGAAGCTAATTTATTTTCTTATGTTTAATTAATAGAAGATGACATATTGTCTACTTTACTATTAATTTTTTAATCTATAAATTAATAACAAATAAATAATAAATATATATAAAAATTTATATATATATATATATATATATATATATTTATATATATATATTTATATTTATATTAATACCAATATTATTTTTCGAATAATCTTTATTTGTTAAAACAAAATAATCTTTATTATTCTAATTTTAATTTTCAGGTGTTTTATTTTTTTTATTAGATGCTGGTTATTAATTTGTCTCTTTTTTAGCATCTGCGTTATTATTTGCATTTTCTGTAAGTAATAAAGTCATTAATTTTTTTCTTTTTTAACTTTTAATTTTATTTGATAATTAATTTTTTACTTTAGGCCTATTATTCATACAAAATTAAATTTTTTCCTAAGTTAATGTTTTATCCTTTAAAATAAATTATTTTATTGAAGAATCGAAAATATTATATTTTTATTATTATAAACTAATATCTTATTTTTATTAAAATAATTAATTCATAAGTGAATTTTTTTTCATGTTAGACATATATTTTTTTATCTGAAAAGTATATAGAAGATGAAACTGGTCTTTTGGATGTTAAAATACTCGAAATATTTTTAGAATCGACAAAATTCACAATATTTTCAATCCAATTTTATTCCTATTTTTTTTATTATTCGATAAAAATATCTTTTCCACTATTAATTTAGCTATTAATTTGAATGAAATCATCTGAAATTCGACTTACTTTATAGTTTTTAGAATCTTAAGTATAATCATGTTATAATTAATTCATTAATTATTAATAATTTTTATATTCAACTTAACTTTCGCCTTTTTTATCAAAATCAAAATTTTTATTGAGTTTTGAAATCGAAAGCTATTTTCTATTTAAACTAGCAGGATTTTCTATAATTCTTTGATCATTTTTAATATATAGATTTTAATGTTCGTTTTTTATATTTGAATTTTATTGATCATTTCTTAAATTTGAATTTTATCTACTTTATTAATTTGAATTAAAGACTAAATTAGGATTTTTAATTTAAATTTATTGATTTTAAAATTGCTACTATTTTTTTTTCCTTTCATATTTATATTATAATTATTAAAGAAATTCAGGATCAATAAAAAAAGCTTTTCTATTAGAACTTATAGTTTTATTTTAAGTAATATATTTCCTTTGTTTTATATTAACAAAATTTATATTAACACAACTATTATTTCTTTCTTTAGTAATCTTAAAATCATCTTATTCTTAATTTAGGTTTTCGATAAGTTTTTATTTTTCCAAATCATTTCTAAAAGTTAATAAATTTAAAATTTTTTAAATTTTATTTCTTATTTTCTTCTTCTTATTTTGTTTGCCGTTTGAATACGTTTTTAGTAACTTATAAGCAGCTTTATAACAATTTAAACATTTATAATAATTTAATTCTTATTTTTTAAAATATTTTCCGATCATCAACATACATTCGAATTTGATTTAAGCCAAATAAATACAATTTAGATTTTATTCATTCGAACAAATATCACTTTTTTGTTAATTGTATTCTTTAGAAAAAAAAAAATCAATTACAGAAAGTGCTTTATTTGAATTTGTAAACATTTCTTCATATTATTTTAACTATTTATAAACCTAAGCCTTCATATAATAAAAAGTACTTATATTTCCGTTCTAATCTTAACTACTATTATCTATATATTATTGACTAAAAGTACTTTCCATTTCGCTTAAAATTTTCAATCCAGCTTAAAAATTCTTTTATTTTTTATAAATTAAACATAGGTTAATGGCTATGTTTGCCCTTATTTCATGAAATTCTATATATTAAACCCAAATAAGGCCATTTTAGTAACTTGGCTCGGTTATTTATTTTGCTTTGTATAAATATTCTTCGGCTAATTAATATTGTTTATTCATTAATAAATTATAACCTGCATTATAAAATATTTAACTTATTTTATATGAACATTCCCAGACCTTTATATCAGTAAAGTTATATTATTTTATTAATTAAAGAAGCTTATTTTCTAAATTTAATAATATACTATTGTTTTATTATGATAATACATTTTGAATATTTTATAAAAAGCTTGATTATTAATTTTAATTCATTTTCTTAAATAAATTTAATGTATGATGTATTTTTGAATAAAAATATTTAATTGTTATTTAATAAAAATAATTAAAATAAAAAAATATAAAATTATTTTTAATTTACTAAAAAAAAAATGAATAACATTAATTCTTAATTTAATTATTATTAAATAATTAAATTTTATATATATATATAAAAAAAAATTAATATATTTAATTTAAAAACTTAGAAATCACAAATAATTAGTTGTATTTTATTATTTTCTATTTAAAAATTCTTACATCATCAATTCACTTTCTTCATCATCATCTTCGATTAACTCATCAATAGTAAATGGAATTTAATTATCTTAAATTTTTAAATTTGTCCTTTATTTAATTTGTATAAAATATATAAATAAATAAAAAATAATACGGGTTCCCCTATTTCAAGCCAATAAGTATTCTTATATCCTCCAAACAATTTTATAAAAGCTTTATTCTTTCTGAGCTTTGATTTTTAAAGCAAAAAACACTTGCTGTAGGGTCACTATTTTAAAACTAGAACTTATCATGACTCAATAAAATATAGAAATGATTCATTGCTTATTAAAATGCATTTAGAATATCTTCAAATTTACTAATTCTTGTCAAAACTTCATTTTTCCAAAAATCACATACTACATCTCTCGTATCTGGGCAATCAATAATTCTACAAAAAGTCTTAAAAACAATATTCGAGCTCAACGTAGTATCAATTTCTTTCTTACAAATACTCTTATAGCCGAAATATTCTCTATAAACAGCAAATAAAGGCAATTATGGTTTCTTCAAAACAATACAAGAAGGCATTATAGCCATCTAATTTTAATCAGTTTTATTCTATAATCTTGTATTTAGTTAAAAAACAATTTAAGAATCAATTTTTTTCGACATTGCCTTTACTACAGATCGCCATCCTTATCTATTAGTCCTAATATCATTTGGGTCAATAACCGCTGGTTTACTAGGTTCACCCCCTTATAAATTAAAATTATATGTACCGTCTTTTATTAAATTGTTTAAAGGTATAGTAACGAAAGATATGGAAATTTATAAGTCATTTTTAATGTTACTGTTTTAAGTTTATGGAATATAATGGATTACTAATTCTACGCATATATTTAAATTCGCATGTTTATTTTTGTCATAATTATCAAATTTTAAATATACTATATTATCTTCTCTATTTTTTTATACAAATGACCTATTTTTTTTATATTTTGTATTTTATAAAATAAATATAAATGTAATCTTTATTTAAAATTATATATATATATGTAAAAATATATATATATTTATATTTATATATATATATTATATACCATCTATCTTCATATTGTTAAGTCCAAAAAGCTTCCACAGCACATGTATTTCCAATAAATTGATTTCTTCCACTATCAAAGAATGAAATATATATTTATCTTTTCGAAATTCTTTCACGTGGGAAAGTTTGTTCTTAAGGAATAGGTACACCATTACATTATTTAAGATTTAATTCTGCAAAAAATGAAGGGCAATTATAATTATAGTCGAAGACAGATTAAGAAACAGAAATTTATTTGCTATTATCATAATGTAAATCAGGATAAATTTAGAATTCATTTAATTTAGGTTTTAAAGAAGAACTAGGATAATTCATACCTTTTTAATGTAAGCTTCTAAAAAATGATAAGCGAAAATTATTTGGCATTTATTTAAATGTTTCCATTAAATCTTTTATAGAAAATTTTCTGCTTGATCTAATCTATAAATAAATTCAAAATTATATAAATAAAATATTATTTATAAAATATATATATATATATATATATATATATATATATATATATATATATATATAATCTTATAAAAATTAAAAATATTTACATTAAGAATTGCTGTTTAAGCTAAAAGGCTTGTTCCTTCTGAATTTCTGGTAATAAAAAGTATCATTTCATCAATATCAACTGTTTTACTTCCATCAAAGTCAATTTCCTTAAAAAGAGCTTCTAATTCCGGTTATGTTAATACAACTCCCAAATTCTTAAACACTTATTAAAGTTAAACAATATTAAGTAATCTACTATTATCAATATCTACTTTTTTAAACTCTCTTTTAAGCTCATCAATTATAGTTTCAGCAGTCATCATTTCATTTTTTATTTTTTCCTACATAATAATTTTAAATTCATCAAAACTAATAGTCCCGTCATTATTTTTATCATATCTTCTCATATATTCTTCCAGTTCTGCATTTGAGGCATTTATCCCGATTTTCGCTAATAAATTATTCAGTTCATCTATTTAAATTTACTTATCGTCATTAATATCTACTTGTCTAAAAAGTTGATAAATCTATTATTCTAAATCTTTAGTTAAAGCAAGTCCTTTTTAATTTTTGTTAGTTTATACTATCTATTCATGATCATCCACAAAGTATTACTCGAATTCTGAATATGTCAAACTCCCTCCACTATTAACGTCTATGCAATTAAATAAATTCTAAATTTCAAAATCATTAGGTATTTATTATCCTTATTCGCTTAAAATAGCCTTTGTTTTTTAAACAAAAATCTCCAAATCAATCAAAGGAGACATTCCTACAGGATAATAAATATCGGCGAGTTATTTATAATTTTAATTGCATAAATCCAATAATACTTATCTTATTCTTTAAGCCTTATTTACATCTTTAGCTCCTCCTATCCTTTAATTTCCTTATTATACACTTTTATTTCCTAATCCTAATTATTTTATTAGATTTTATTCTTCAACATGCCTTTTATGATCAAAATTTAATTTTTATAATAATTCGTCTATTTGTATATAACCTACTTAAGAAACTAAAATACTAATGAAAGTATTAAAATTCGCAGAAGGATAAAACCCATATTCTTACATGAATATTTTCTTTAATATGTTTTCCTCTAAATATCCATTATTTTATTTTGCGACTTGAATTAATTATTAAGCACCGATTTTATGAACTGCATTTATTACTTTTTGTAATTCTTCTTAGTATATTTTTTCCATTTTTGAGTTTATTTCTGTTTCAGCTTCTTCTTATTATTAAAGACCTTTATTATTCATACCTTAATTAATATTAATGTTATAAATATTAGGTTACCCTATGATTTAATTATTATTCATACTATTATAGTTTTATTAATTACTTTATATATTTTAATTATTTATATTGTTGTAATTTTAATTATTACTATACATATTTTAATTATGTATGTTATTTTAATTATTATTATTCATATTATAATTATTATTGTACATACTTTAATTATTAATATTTTAAATATTTTAATTATCATTTAAATTCTTACTGGCATTAATATTCATATTTTGTGGATTATAACTTGTTTTTAAATTGTTATTATTATGTATAGGATTATTATATTAATCATAATTTATATTATTATATATAGGATTACAATTCTAATCATAATTTATACTATTATATATAGGATTACCATATTAATCATAATTTATATTATTATTATTTTAACTTTTTCCTCCATAATTATCTTATTTCTATTATTAAAATTATTTGGGATTATTTTCATAATTACTTTATACTACTTTTGTTTATTCATAAAAGTTACTATTATTATTATTCATATTATTATTATTATTCATAGGAAAATCTCCAAATTAATTATTCTAAATATTTGTTCCCATTTAAGGAGGAAATTAATTTTTTTTCATATCAAATTATCTACTAGAAGGAGTATCAAACCTAATATTCTTTTCTTACTTATTATTATTTTACAAAAATTAATTTTTATTTGCCATATATTGACTCAAGGAATACTAAACCTGACTTAAAATATCCTAATATATTTTTTAAGCCGCTCTAAAGTCAATATTCTAGTTTATATTCAAAAAATAAGATAACTTAGTAGGAATAATTTATTTCCTTTAATCAGAAATCTAATTAAAAATTTCATAAATTTATTAATCCGAAAAATCAATATTAAAAAGATTATCAATTTAATAAATAACGTCAATATTCCACTAAGAATATTAGTTATCACTTGAAAAAAACAAAAAAGCTTCTAAAAATTAAACTCATCATTACATCTCATTAAATTATAAAGCACTTTTTTCACGATTTCGCATTGATCGTCGATTAAGCAAACCACTTTCATAAACTACATTCTTCCTTCTATACAATATTGCTAAAATAGGCTTTAAATTTATTTGAATTCTAAATTTAAATCAAGGCCAGTTATCAAATTTTCCAGGTCCTTCTACTCGAAATAATAAGACTTATTAGTGTCAAAATAACTGAATAAATCTACAGGGCTTATGTTTATTAATTTACATACCTAACTTATTTATCTTATTATTTTTGATGTCTATATTGGATCTATACTATTTATTCTATCAAATCTCTATATTTTTTTAAAAATATTAAATTAATTTATAAATTTATGTGTGATTTTTTATTTTTTACAGGTGTATATTCTTCTGAAATATTCAAATATTGACAAAGTACTTAGATAGATAATTAAGTCTAATTTTAAGTTATTTAATTATAGAAATCTTATAATTCTTAATTTGATAAAATATTCATTTAAAAAGCATATTTTAAAAATTAACTAAAAATATTTACATCCCATTCTATTTAATTTCTTTATTTTTAATAATTTTAAACAATTTATTAATAAAATTATTAAACAGAAATTCCGTTCTATTTTATTGTGTATATAACAGCCTCTTTAAAAAGCTTTTTTATTCCATAAATTTTAAACAAAAAGTTCATATAGGCAAATTATTTAGTTTTAATATTAATAAATTCATTATAAATAAAGTCCAAATGTTAAGTAGAAGCTTAAACCTTAATAATATTTAATATTTTTTGCAATCTTTGAGGACTATATTTTTAATTTTTAAATATTTAAACATAAAAAAAAAAAAATACTTTTCAATTTAAAATGTGAATTTATCATCTTCTCCAATAAAAAGTAAAAAAAGATCAACCTTTTGAATTTCTATTTAACTTTTAATGATTTCACAAAACTATTCGATATTAAATTTTGGGGGTAAATTAACACTAGGCAATTCAGGTTCTTCTAAATTATTTTTTTATTATAATTAGTTATTACTATTTTTCATATTATAATTATTTTCGAATTAATTTTATACTCCACTAAAATGTCTTTAACTATGCTCAAAAGGATTTTATTTAAAACTGATAAAATTATTATTATTAGAACTCATAATATCATTTTATTAATAAAATTAATTGTAATTATTCCAATCTGTTGGTTAATAATTTAAAGCATTATTCAACATTTAAGAATACTTAATATTTTCTTTTACATTCATTTTTCCCATTAAAATCATCTCGAATTCTTATTTTTATATTTTTTAATTATTATTAATATCAAAAGCATTAAAAGATTCCAAAAGCTTAAAACAAAAAATAAAATAAACAAATAAAATAAAATAAAATATTTATTAAATACTTCGTCTTTAGGAATTTTAACATCAGAATATTCTAACAAACTTTTAAATTAATTTAATCCTAAATATTCATTTTCAGCGAAAACATCAAATAAATATTCCAAAAGATAAATTGTCTTTTTCAATATAAGCCTATATTTAATTTCTAATTTAGGATATGTCATATTTATTATAAAGAAGATCATTTAAGAAATTAACGGAGTTTATTTAATCATTTTATCCATATTACTTATATAAACTATCTAATTCTACTGGCACTATTTCAATTTTTAATTGTTTAAAAACATTCTTGAATTAAGTAAAATTCATATATTCTTAAATTATATAAATAAAAAAAAATATAGTTTATATTGTATTTTTTTTTTTATAAATACAATCTACAAAAAAAAAGTCGATATAAAACAAATTATTGTATTTTTTTTTTGGATATTTTTTAAAAAAAAAGACATAAGAAAAATTAAAAATAATATATAAATATACCTTATTATTAGAAAATCTAATAAATATCGCATTATTACTAAATAAATTATCTTCTTAATCTCTTTAATAGCTAAAAGTTATTTATTTACGCTTTTTCAATAACATTATAAAATTCTTCATAACTAATTTTTCCATCTCCATCGTTATCTATAAAAGTAAATAATTCATCTAATTAATCAAAATTGAAATTTAGTCCTAAAAAGTTGAAAAAAGTCTATTAATTTAAAATTTTTTTATAAAAAAAACATAATAAATATATTCAAAAAATTAAATAATACCTATAAAGATTATATTGTTATAGATCCGCCTTAAGCATATTAATCATATATTGTTTTAATTGATTTTCCTTTTTTTTCTTTATATTCAATAATTTTTTATCTTATTTTATTAAAATTCATATGATCATCTTATATGACGGCTATGAAAAGTTCCAAAGAAATACTATCTAAATTTTTCTCGAGTAAAAAATGTTAAAACAGTCTTTCGATTTCTGTATCTTCGATATTATTTTTTGTAAGTTTTTTCATATATTTAGAAAATTCAGTATAACTGATTTTTCCATCATTATCTGTATCTATATTCTTGAAATATTTTCTTATTTCATCTTCTGATGTTATTTCGACATTCTAATATATATATAAATGTATATGTATATAAATTTAATAAAAATTTATATTTTTACAGATTTTATTTTATTTAATAAAGGTGCAATATCAACTTCTTTTAAATTAGGATAAACTTATTTTGTAAATTAAGCTAAATTTATTTTCATTTCTTTATCTTCATCAAATTAATCAAAAAAATCTATAAAAAAAAATGTAGGATATATAAAAAATTAAAAAAAATACTTTCAACTAAATCATCTGGTAATTTTTTTAAACTAGGTACTACATTATCATTTTAAATACAATTAATAAACTCTGTATAAGAAATAAAAGTATCATTATCTTTATCAAATCTTTTAAAAACATATCTAATTCCAACATTTTTTTTTTAAATATAATTCAAAACATCCTATCTGAAATCTTCTAAAACATCTTCTAATTCTTATTTAGATGATTTTTTTTTTTCTTTTTTCTTAATTCTTAACTTTTTATTATCTTTCCTATTGTCCTCATCTCCTCCCTTTCTACTACTTCTTCTAATAATATTATCTAGTCCTTTATAATTAATCATCCCTTATTTATTTTTATTCCACTATTCTATTAAATCAGCTTCTTTTCTACTTAATTTAATCCTCTTATCATCTAAAATATCGAAAAAATCATTCACATCAATGAACCCATCATTATACTTATCCAGTCTATTTTCCTTAACTAAATCTTATAAAGATATTCTATTAGTTTTTAGCTTGTCTTACAAGCTAATAACTGCATTATTAAAATCTTCAAAGTTCTATATTAATAAATTAAACAAAACCATATCTTTCCCTCTCAAGCAATTTCTTTCTTCAAAAAATTATTTTAATTCCCTTTAATTAATCCTCTCTTTAAAATTTAAATTCTCCAAAATTTCCATAAACTCAGAAATAGAAACTTCACTATCATCAATACGTTCGCATTTTTTTACTATATCTGTTTTTTCATTTTGAATAAAGTTTTCTAATAAATCATTTATTTCCTATTTTTCATTTTAATCTTCTATTCTCTTATTTTCTCCATATCTTTCATTACCTTATTCTCTTCCTTTTTAAGAAGTTCTTCTATCATAATCATCTCCTCTTCTTCTATCATAATCATCTCCTCTTCTATTATCATAATCATCTCCTCTTCTATTATTATAATCATCTCCTCTTCTATTATTATAATCATCTCCTCTTCTATTATTATAATCATCTCCTCTTCTATTATTATAATCATCTCCTTTTCTATTATCATAATCACCTCCTCTTTTATTATTATAGTCATCTCCTCTTTTATTACTATAGTCATCTCTTTTTTTATTATTATAGTCGTCTCCTCTTCTATTATTATTATAATCATCCCCTCTTCTATTATTATTATAATCATCCCCTCTTCTATTATTATCATAATAATCTCCCCTTTTAATATCATCTCTTCTTCTATCATTATCTTCATCAAATCTTTTCTAACTATTCCCAAGGTCTCTACTACCAGATTAATTTCTTTTCCTATTATGCTAATAATCATCTTCATCCCTTCTTTTATTATCTTTTCTGAAATCTTTATCATCGTCATCATAATTTTTTCTTATTTAATATACCGAATTTTCATTCTAATTAATTTTTGTTTCCCTATAAAAAAAAAGAATTAATAATAAAATAAAAAAAATTACTTAAATGCTTTATATAATTTTTCAACATTTAACTCTCCGTTATATTAATCCTTAAAATAATCAAAAAACTAATCAAATTATTATTAATAATATCTTATTCCATAAAGTCTTATTTTTTAAATCAATAAATCATCCAATTACTATTTAGTATATCCCCTTCTCAAATCAAAGACATCATCAAAATATTTATTTTCGTTCTAAATAGTTTTCTTAAGAATTATCAAAAACTCCATATAATTATTATTATTCTATTTTTCCTTCTTATTCTAATCCTTAAATTAATCATATTTCAACTTAAGCCTCAACACATTAAAAACAATCCCCCCATAAGTCAAATCTTCAATAACCGGAATATATTACTATTAAATCTAACTACTAATCCCAATATTTCTCAGTTTTTAATCTAATTCGTTAATATTAATTTTCTTTTCCTAATTATTTAAAAATAATTCATCAAAAGAAACATTGGATTAAATAAGAGATTATTATATTAATTAATAAAACTCCTTTTATTTTTATTCAAATTCAATTTAATTAACTAAAGCATCTTTTCCCAAAATATTATTTGAAAATTCATCTAAAGTAATCTTGCCATTATTATCTAAGTCCATTCTTTCAAAAATATATTCGATTTCATCTTTTTGCATCGATTTATTAATAATAGGAATCATTTCTAAAAATTCCTTCTTTGTAATAATACCATCACCATTAACATCTATATTAATAAAAGCATCTGAAATATTTCGTCTGTTAGATTTTGTCATATTTCTCATATCCTATATAAAAATAAAATAATAAATAAATATAAATATATATATATTTATATATATATATATATATAAAAAAAAAAATTAAATAATTTTTTTTTTTTTTTTAATTACTTATAAGATTTAATTTGCTTTTAATTCTTTTTTGTACCCAATCTCAAATTTAGAAAAAGAAATGTCGTTATTTGGTAAAGAAATTTCTTCTAAAAACTATTCGAAAGTTTAATCTTCTTTTAAATTTAATTAATATTAAATTGTATCTATGAATTGTTTTCTATTTAATTAATCATTATTTTATATTTGCCTAGTAAATGTTTCTAAACCTATTTCTTTCTTTTCCATTTCTTTAAATATTTTTATGTACCAAACAATAGTATTTTTTTTTTGCTCTTTTATTTATTTTGTTTAATGTTCACAATTATAATAGTCTAAAACTTCAATAAATATAGATAAATCCATCTTTTATCCTTGACCATTCATTAAAATAAATAATCTATCTATTTCTTATTCAAAATCATAACTTTTAATATCAAGTTCATTAAGTTTTTAACTTTTTTTTTAAAAAATAAATATATATTTTTTATATAATATATATATACTCAAAATAATTTCTTCCAACTTATTTTTAATTTGATGTAAAATGTTCTTATGCCTTAATTTTTTTAAGGTTTAAATTTAAATTAATAGTATTAAAAATTATTTTATATTTATCTAAATCTTAAATATTAATTCCTCCTATATTACTCTTTATTTTTATATTAGAATCATCTGTAACCTCTATATTCGAAAATATATATATTAAATAAAATAAAGAAAAAAATTAAAATACCTAATAAAGTTAAAAATTCTAAAGAGGAAACTTATCTTTAATTATTTTTAGTTTCCGCAAGTTAATTAAAGATTAAAGAAAATTAATTTTCATCTAATTATAAAATTAAAACTACTTTTCTCTTAAATTAATCAAATCCCAATTTGACATCTAGCTTATTTTATATATCAAAAAAACTCAAAATATCTTATTTTGGCAATTTTTTAGCTGCAATTTTTAATTTTTCAATAATTCCATTAAATGAATTTTATTCATTTTTATTTTAACTTTTTACTGATTATTGAGATTATTACATTTGTTCTATTATATTAAAATATATATATATACATTTATATTTTATCTATTTATTTTACATTATTATTTATTTTCGTTTTCATCATCCTTATTACCGAAAACATAATTCCCATATTAAATTTTTTAGTTTTTCGAAAATTAAAATATTTATTCTTAAAATTCTTTAATTTTAATATCATCTGATATTCCTTTATTAATTTTAAAGTACTCTAAAGCAAAAAAAATTTCCTTTTTTTCAAATCTAAACTTCAGAACTTCTTAGCATTTTTCAACAAAATCTTTCAAAGGTACCAAAAGTGATTTTTTAATATAATTATTTACAAAAGAGCTCAAAGTAAGTTCTCTATTGTTCAATGCATTAGCAAATTAACTAAAAATTAATTTTAATTATTATTCTAAAGAAGCCTTTAACTAATCCTTTAAAGGCCCGGCATAAATATGTCCTTAACCTGATGGATCGATTAATTAATTAATTTTTTCCTTTACAAAAAAGTTTAATTAAACTTATTCACTTTACAAAAATTTTATAAAATCTTCAAAAAGCAGAAAATTATTATTCTTTTTAATTTCCTTAGAAAAAAAATCATCAAAAGAATTAAAATTCTTAAAAATACACTTAAATATTCTTTCAAAATTATCTTCTAATTCTTACTAAGAAACCACTACATAACCTTCTATAGCTTTCAAAATTTTCATATAATAAATTGTTTAATTAGAATAATCAATATCGAATTTAACTTTAATCCTTATTAATTCTTATTCACTTAATACTATATTATTTCGACCTAATATAGACTTAAAATCTTAAAAATGTATTTTTTCAGTCTTTGCCTCATCATATTATTTTAATTCTCTTTCTAAATTTATATTATATTATTTCAAAAATATTGCTATTTTCTAAAAATATTATTTTTTTTAAAAAAATTAAATTTAAAAAAAATACTCTTAAAGATTCTTAAAGTAGTAATTCTTCATCTTTTGAAGATAAATCTACCAAATCATTTTTAAGGCTTTTTTCGAGAATTTTATTTTAATTACTGTCTTCTCCTTTATTATTTTCTTTTAAAAATTCATTTAAATAATAAAACCCGGAACTTTTAGGATCTAAAACTCTAGTTATAGAATTTAATTAAAATTCGTTAAATTAAATTTAAAGAATATCTTCTATAATCCTTTTGAATTCATATTTAGTTATTTTTTTATTATCTTTATTATATCCATCAGAACTTTACAATAAATCATTTATTTTTAATCCTTTTTATTTACAAATTTAATCGCATTAGCTTTTTATTTTCCTTATATAATTATCATCTTCTAAAAAAATATAAGAATATATATATAAAAATAAAAATATATATATTTATATATTTATATATTTATATATTTATATATTTATATATATATTTATATATTTATATATTTATATTTATTAGTTAGATATATAATTATTTTACCTATATTCATAATATTATTAATATTATCATTTCCTCCTTCAAAATCAGTATCATCATTATTAAAAAAAGGTATTCTTTTTTCTTTTAATTCTTCTAAATTTTCTCTTATTTCTTCATTATAAATGACCATATTTTCTACTAAATTAAAAACTCCTTTTCCATATCTTTATTTTATTTCTTCTAAAATACTTTATCCTTATTTCATTTAATTATTTTAATTAAAACATTTTAATTCTTCTGTATTCAATAAAGTGCAAGCTTAAATATAAGAAAGCCCTAATGAAAAAATATCTGATTATTATCTATTTAAAATATTCCATTTTAAAACAGTTCCTTTTTGTATTTCTTCTAAAATCTAAGGTGATCTAAAAACATCATTATCAATATTTGTATTTAATGAAATATACCCAGGTTCTGAAAGTACATAATCTCCTCTATTATTTTTTATTATATTAGAAGGCTTTATATTTAAATGACTATATTAGTCCCAATATAAACTTATAAGCATTTCCAAGGTTGAATTTATTATGTTTTTAATTTCTTTAGACGAAAAATATTATTTGGAAGGTTTTCTCCTTTCTATTTCATCCTTTAAAGAATACTCTTTTTTCAAAAAAAATAAACATAATATATGTTTATCGTCCTATTAATCTATATTGAATCTTTAAGGAGCTAATATTCCTCTTACTTTAGTTTTTATTATTCTTTGCATTTCGTTTGCGTATTTCTAGAAATCCTATATTGTGGAAAATGTTAGCTTTTTCATCATATATATTTCTAAAGAGTCTTATTTATTTTAAGCTGTATACATTGATATGCTATTGTTTATTGGACCTTTTATATCATAATTAATTAACTTAATTTGATGTTCGGGATTCATTTTATTTTTATTATAATTTATATAAAAAATATTTTTAAAATTTAAAATTTTTTTTATTTTATTTTTTTCTTAATATGATTATAAAAAAAAATTGATTATTATTTATTAATTTATTTTAAATAAGTATTATTTATAAATATTTTATCATTTATTTAATGCCTAAAAACCAGCATTAATTACTTATTAAATAATATCAAAAATATCCTTTTAATAGAATTGATTTTAGTTATAAAATTCTAATTTATGAGCTATTTCTTTTTAAATCATTATTTAATAACTATTTTTTTTTTAAATAAAATATATATATATATCAAAACATTACATTTAATTTTTTTTTTTACATAATTTACAAACCTACAAATATTATAAATAAATTTAAAATTTTAAAAATCAATTTTTATGTAAATGCAATACTTAAATATCTATTTATTTATTTTTAAAAAAAAAATATTAATAAATCTGTATAAATTATATGTAATTTTTTTACATTAAAACAATAATATCGCCTACTAAAACTACATATCCTAAAACTATTAATTAATTCATTGCATTTATGCTAAATAAACCTAGTATTTCTCCTGCAAGTAGTTATAATTACTAAGGTATATGTTATTTTAAATGTAAAAATATAACTACAGCTTATTCAGGGAGCTTTTTATATTAAGAATATATTATTTATTAAAAATATAAAATAAAAGTACTTAAGGACAGTGATATATATTAGAATTTTATTATTTATTAAATAATTATTATGATTATTAATTCAAACAAATAAAAAATGAACCGTGAATTATTATTATAAGCGCAAGAACATAACAAATTACTATATTATTTATGAGTCCCATTATTATTATTTTTTATTATATAAAATAAATTATTTTTCTTTTTTTTTAAAAAAAAAAAATTTAAAATTTATATATAAAAATTTTTTAACTAAAATTTTTTGTAAAAATAAATATGATTTTTAACTTTAATTAATAAATAAAAAAATAGTATTTTGTTTTATTATAAAAAAATATAAATAATCTTAGATATATAATAAATAAAAGTATTAATATAATTAATTATATATTTTAAATAAATATAAAATAGTATACATTAATATTTAATAATAAACTATTTGTTTCTTAAAAAATATATATAAAAATTTTGAAACTAAAATAAAGATTTTTATTTTTAATTTAATATTTCAATAACACAATTTCTAAAATTTATTTGATTATTAAATTTCATTGATTCTATTTGAAATAAATTCTTAAAATTTTAATAAATTAATATATATATATATTTTATTTTTTACTTATATAAAAAGTAGAAAATAATTAAACTAATAATTTTTTACATATAATAAGTCTTTTAAAACAATAAAAAACTAATTTTTATTTAAAAGTAATGTATAAAAATATTAATGATAGTTTAAAAATAATTAATAAAAATTAATTTAAATAAATCTCATTTAAAAAATATTATATTTCTTGTTTAATAAATAAATAAATATAATAAATAAATATAACCTTAATACTTTTTATAAATATAAATAAAAATAAAATTAAAATCTAAATTTATTTTATATTTTAACAAAATTATTTTTAAATTAAATAAAATTCTGAAATCTAATAAATAAAATAAAAAGTAATTTTGATTATGATTTTATGGAAAATTATATATAAATCTTAATATTTTTTTAAAAAATATTAAGATTTTATAATTTAGTAATATTTTTGTATATATTTTTTAATTTAATGTAAATTTATTTATGAAAATCAATTAAATAAAAATATGTCTAATGAAATAGATAATTCAGCTTTTTTTATTAATTTTTTAAAAACATTAAAATATTTATAAAAAAAAAATATGAACAAAATGAAAAATATCAAGTGAATTCTAAAAAAATAAATATAGAAGTAAATATAGCGATTAAATTTAAATTTAATACTAAATATTATTTTAACAATAAATAATATAATTAAATGTATATTTAAAAAAAAAAAAATATCATATATTTATATATTATTAATTTAAAATTATTAATAAATAAAAATAAGATACAAAATTTATAATTATTTATATTAATTTAAAAAAATATATAAAATAATTTTTATACTGATTAACATTAAACATAAAAATTTATAAAAATAATTAAAATAATCATTAAAAAAAAAATATTATAAAAAAATAAAATTATTTTAATAGAACATATTTAATATAAAAAATTATTAATTAGAGAATCATATATTATTATGAAAATATAAATATAAATATTATATATATATAAAAAAACAATATATATGTACTTATAAATTTATATTTATATATATATATATATTATATTTATATATTATATTGGATTTTTTTTATATTATTTTATATAAATAAAAACTTCTTCATAAAAAAATATATATTTTTTAAATTAAAATAATTATTTTACAATATTTAAATATAAAGAATGAAGCTAATCAAAATTATATTTTTTTTATAATAATATATTAAAAATCTTTATAAAATAAAAAATATTTATTAAATTTAATTGAAAATAATTAATTAAAAAAAGAAAGTAAAAAATGTAATAAGTATAATAAATATAACAATCTGAATAAATTTTATAAGAAAAAGAACTTCTTATTAGCGGTGGAGCAGGAGCCATAAGTTTTTAAGCCGGCTACATTTAAGGATTATTGGAAATAATACCGAAAGAAATCTTAAAGTAATATAAATTAGGTGGAATATCATCAGGTTGTTGTATTGCTGCATATTTAATACATTGTTTACACAGCGAATTAGACATGAAGTATTTTTATGAGAAATATATAAGAAACGTATTTAAATAAGTTAGTAAATCATTATTCGGTTTTTGGGATACAGGCAAAATGATAAAAGAAGGAAGTAAAGAATTCTTCCGTGATTTAATTAAAAATGGAATGACTCTAGAAGGAAAATTACATACATATATATCTGTAAAAAAAGGATTTTTTAATTTGAAAAAATGCTTATAGATAGTTTTAAAGATGAAAATTAATTCGCTGAAGCTGTACATTGTTCATGTACTATTCCGGGAATTACCGGATTTTAAATATGGGGAGATTATTAGGGCCTTTAGGCTATTGATGGGGGAGTTACGATGGGGATACCATATAAAAATAAGAATTCTAAGTGTATATTTTTAAATGTATTACCAAAAGTATTCACTATGTATCCTATTATAAGAGAAAGTCCAAAAGATTTAAAAACTATTTATATAGCGGAAGAATTTTCGTACAATTTTCCAAATGATTATTGGCTTTGGGATGAATATAATGCCGATAAATAATTTTTATAGGGATATTTAGCAGCTAAAAATCATGAAGGGATTATTAAGGAATATTTTTTAGGAAATTAATGAATTAATAATTAAAATTTATATAGTTTTTTTTTAAAAAAAATTATAAATAAAAAAAATGGAAGTTTTTATATATATTTTATAGAATTTATATATTTTATTTTTTAAATTATATATATATTTTTAAAATATAATTAAAAATAAATCTATTTCTATTTTTTTTTTTATTTTAATTTAATATTTTTAAAAAAATGGATATAAATAATAATTAAACAAAAAAAACATATAAATATTAAATGATATATAATATAGAAAATATAAAGAAATATTAATTAAATATAAAAATAACAAAAGTATGTTAAAAATATAATAAAATAACAAATATTGAAATATAAAATAGTTAAATCAAATTTCAATACAAATATATAAATATTATATATATTTAATAAAAAATATAAATAGTATTTTTTTTTATATAAAAAAAATATTAATATAAATATATATATATATATATATATTATATTTATATATTTTTTTCTTATATATATTTAATAGTACATTATTTGTATATATTAATAATTTTATTAAATTACTTTTTTTTTTCTTTAATAAAGTTGTTCATAAATTTTAATTTTAAATAAAATATAAATTTTTTATATTTTTATTAAAGTTTTTTATAAACATATGTTTTATATCTCAATGTAAATTATAAAATAAAATAGTTAAATTATTATATTTTTTATTTTATAAAATGTTATTTTAATATATATTTAATAATTTTTTTTATTTAAGGTAAACAAAATTAATATTCAATATAATAAAATTTAATTTTTCAAATATAATATTTTTAATATAATTAAAAAATTATTAAAAAGCATTTTTAAAAAAGTGCAGTAATTTTAACTTATAATATTATTTTAGAAAATCTTTATTAGATTTCATATAAAATTCTTTAATAATATATTAATTAAAAAGACTATGAAATATTAATTATTTTTCATGTAAAATAATTTAAATTTAATTAAAAGAAATTAAGAACGTCTGTTTTTGTTTAAAATATCTAATTTTTAGATAAAAAGGAGTTAAAATATATTTGATAATATTTTTATTAGAAATAACATTAATAAAATTATTTAGCAAAATTTTGGAAAAAAAATGAATAATTTTTTTTTATGATAAATAAAATGACTTAAATAATTTAATTGAATAAAATAAATAAAATACTTATAAAAATATGTTATAAAAGAATAAAAAGAAAATCTTAAAAAAACAATCTAAAAATAAAAAAAATATAATTATTTTTTATAATAAATAATTACTACTTAATTGCGTTAATATAAAAATAGAAATAACTTCTAAAATTATTATTCTTGGAAAAATAAATGATATTAAAATAAAAATCATAAAAGAACTTTTTATTAGATAGATATAGGCAAAAATAATATAAATGTACAATAAAAAAATACTATAAAAATAAATTAATTTAAACATAAAATATATTTTGAAAAAAAAAAACTTAAATAATAAAAGTAATATAGTGTATAAAAATACTATAAATTATTATTATATATAATATAAATTTATAAAATAAGAATACTTAATATAAAAATATATATATATAATTATATATATAAATATTTATATATTTATTTATTTTCAATTGAATTAAGAAACATTAAGCATACCTACAAATTCATCTAAAGTTATAGTACCATCATTATTAATATCTATAGTTGAGAATACTGCATCTATTTCATATTCTTTAAATGGTAATTGCATATCTTTAAAAGCTTTTTTAAATTCATTTCTGGAAATGGTTTTATCTTTATTTTTATCAAATCTTTAAAATGCATGTTCATAATCAATTCTATTCTATCTTAAAATCCTTGCAAATTTAGAAAATATTTATTTAGTAATTTATTCATTTTAAGATCCTTCTATATCATTATATGAACCTTAAATTTATTAATATGAAATTGATTATTGTAATTATTATGATAATTATTATTAAATATCTTAACTTTTATTTATTAAAGATTAATTATTTATTAAACATTGTTTAGTACTAACTCTTTTACCTATATATATATATAAATATATATATATATATATATATATATATATATATATATATATATATATATTAATATTTATATAGTTTTATATATAAATTTTTATTTATTTTTTATTTAATATATTTATATTTTTTAAACGTTTATTTTCTATTCTATTTAATTCTGTTTTTACAGCTTAAATAAATTCTTAAATAGATACTTTTTCATCATTATTTTTATCTAAGAATGAATAAAATTCATTCAATTATTATCTAGAAAGTTCAATTTATAAATTAGTAAATGTTTTCTTTAATTCAACTTTAGAAATAAATTTATCATTATTCTAATCAAATTTATCAAATAATTAACTTCTAGTAACATTATTTTTATTCATATAAATATTCAATTTATCACAAATTTCCTCAATAGTACTTAAAATAACCTTATAAAATAAATAAATTATATATATAAATATATATAAATTTAAAAAACTATAATATATATATATTTATAAATTTACTTATTCCTTTTAAAATTAATTTATAAATTCACCATTTTTATTAGCCTCTTATTTTAAGCCTTCAACAAGCTCATATAAATCAATTTTATCGTCATTGTTTTTATCAAAGTATGTTATTAATGCATATATTTCCTCAAATTTTAATTTTATTCTTAATTTTTCTTAAATAAAATTCATTAATTCAAAATTACTTATAAATCCACTTCTATCATTATCTATTAATTTAAATAAATCAGAAAATGAATGATCACTGTTTTTCAAATATTATAAAATCTAAATTTTTGAAAAATATAAATATATATATATATATATATATATATATATATATATATACTCTCATTTTTATATTATTTATAAAATGTATATGTAGTTTTTAATCTAATGTAGTTAGTTAATCAGATTCTCCTTAAAGAAACGCTTTGAATTCATTAATATCTATATTATTATCATTATTAAAGTCTAATACTTTCAAAAATTAATAAATTTCTTCTTTTGTAATTTATTATCCTTAAACTTCTAAATAACTACTTAAATTAAAAATACTTATTTTTCCATTTCTATCTTAATCAATATCATTAAAAATTTATTAAATATTTTTAATTCTTAATTTTTTTGATATTAATGCACTTATTTTTATTCTTGAACTTTCAAATAATTATTTTTCTTATTTCTAAAAAATAAAAAAAGTAATACGAGCTATATTATTATAAATATAAAAAAAAATACGCTTAAAAATTTCTTATTAGAAATTCCAATATTAGTATTATTTAAATTATTTCTCCTTTATTATTAAATAATTTCATCTAATAAATAATCTTCTGACCCACTCTAAACGTCCAACAAATAATTCCTATAAACACTCTCAAAATTTTATTTATTAAACGGTTAAGGCAATCTATTATAATAAGCATCTACATCATTTGGACTTAAACTCAATTATAAAGTTTCTTAAAAAAAAATAAAAAAAAAAATATATATATATATATATATATATATATATATATTATTTTATTTATATATAAATATATATTTATCTTTATTTATATATTTGTTTTTATTATATAATACCATTAACAGTTTAAATAAAATCTTCCATTGAAATAATTTAATCCTAATCTCTATTCATTACGTAGAAAGCAGTTTAAAGTGCTATCCCTTTTTATTTAAAAGCTCTAGCTATTCTCATTGTTATATCCGTTTCCCAATTTTTAGATAATAACATATGCTCATATTTCGGTTTATATTATTAACCCCATCCTTCATACCAATAAACTAATACATGTAACGTTCCTTTATTAATAACTTCTTAATTTTTTATAAAATTTGTAATTTTAACATTAGGATTAACTACTTCTCCTTCAAGTAGTGCCTTTAAAGACATTTTTCCTTACCCAACCACATCTTTATTATCTTCATCTTCTTCTTCTTTATCTTCTATAGGCACACTATCATTAAACACCGTAAAATGCAAAAAATCATTCTTTAAAAGCTACCTAAAGTTCTCATCGACAATCACATCGATCTAAACTTCCCATTGCCAATCAGGACTAGGTCCAATTTATGTCGGACTGACATAATCCTTCCCATTCAACTAAAAATAAACAAAAAGTGACTAGTTAGCTGGCATTTCGACTCCTTTATCAACCTTTATAACCAGTTTTTTTTTCAAGAAATCCTAGTACATATCAACATCTTCGCTCTTCTAAATTTACTCAATATTCAACTTAAGTTTCTCTTAAGCCCACTACACACTTTTAGAGATCGGGAACCTCATCCTAAACTTCACATCTACACACCCTACAAATTTATTCTACAAAACTCCCTATTTTAGTCCTCTAATTTTCACACTTTGCTCTATAACAGCCGAAATATTTGGTTTTGTATTTTCGCTTATTATTTAAAACAAGGAAATATTTGCACTTCCAATTAATATAGCGTTTTATTGCTATACATTATACAATTCAAGTTTAATAAATCTCTCTTTTAAATATGTGATGTAAAATTCATCTACTTTTACCTTAAAACTAGCTTGGAATTCATAGTTATTTCTCAATCCTTCCACTACTGAGGAATGTTAAGTATCGTGATTATAAAAATCTATAGTGAAAAAAGATAAAAAGCACTAGAGGTCGTTTATATTTTCATTTTGTCTTAAAATCTCATTTTCGTCCATATTTATTTTCCCAATATATAAATCAAAAATATTCTCTCCGATTCCCAATTCTTCCTCGACTAAATCTTCACAGGAAAACTCTGAAACATCCTTAGTATATTTTACATTATCTTTTTCGTATATTTAAACTGCCTAGTTATTTTAATATTAGACATATCCTTTTATATCTGCTAGTTTAGCAAGTTCATCTGCTTTATTAGTCATAACTTTTAACTATTCGTAAATTTATTCGATTTCCATCTTATGTAGTTTATCTTTTTCTTTATCTATTTAAATTTTAGTACGTAACATAGTAGCCTATCTTTCTAAATGTAAACCAAGTTCTCCTTTTTCTAATATTAAATGTTCTACTTTTTTTTTATATTCACTTAAATTATCACCATTCTAAGCGAACAACTCTTAAATTTTTTATTTTTCTATATTTTCTAAGTGTAACCATAAAGGATCTTAACCGTCCCATTTAACTAATCCTAAAGCCTATTAAAAAAATAATATTTTTATATAAATATATATATATATATAATTATATAAATATATATTTATTTATATTTTAATATATATAACATACATTAATAAAATCATTTTATGTAAAATCTGACATTTTATCGCCTTAAACAGTTCCTTTTTATAAAATTTCTAATTAAGATTTAATATTAATATAATCTTATTTTTTTCTTTAAAATTAATCTACCATTTCAACTAGTTTTTTTTCCGTTAGAATTAATTTCTCATTAGTTTAATTCAATATATCTTTTTAGTTTTTTATCTATTCTTTTAACCTAAAATTCTCTTCTCGAGTTTCCCTATATTTAATTTCATTAGCAGACTAGTTTTTAAAATCTCCAAAAAGAGGATCAGTTGCATATTACTATAATTCTTTTTCTTTTTGTCTTTTTTCTGCCTTTACTTAGCTTAATTCTTCTTCCATTTTCTCGAAATTCTTCAAATTAAGTTTCAGTATATCAACTTCAGTCTTCAAATCTTGATTTATTAATTATTCCTTTTAAAATTTCTACCTCATTTCTTTCAATTCCAATTTACTTTACTCCAAAAGTTATTTATTAGCCTCAAAATGAGAATTAACTTATTCCTATTTCAAATGTAAGTCTTTAATTCTGCTATTTGTTTCTTATAAATTTACTGAAAGACTACCTTTTTCACGTGGATTAGAATTCAATAATTAATTTTATAAACGTTTAATTTCTAATTCACTTTATTTTAATTATTCTTTATAAGCATCAATTACTTTTAACATATCAGTTATCTAATATTATATTTATATTTATTATTTTTATATAGTTTTACTTTATATTTATCTTATTAACTTAGTTCTTTTAAATTTTTTTCATTTTCTAATTAATTGACTGTTTTAATTAATTTTTTGGCTTAATTTTATCCTTTATTTTATTAAATAAGCTTTTTTACAGATGAAAGTGCATCGATTTTTTATTTCAATTTTATATTTTCTTATTTAATTTAATCTAATTAATCATAATTATCATCTCCTTATTTTTTCTGGACTAAATTCCTATTATTAAAATGGACTTCTTTTTATAATTTACCCAATTTTGTATTTAATTATTTTAATTAATTTTCTAAAGAGTTCTATCTTTTTTTTAAGTCTAAATTATTTTTATATGTTAACATAAAAGCTTCATTTTTTTCCTAATCAGAAATTTTATTCCAATTATAAGGTTTAATGGGAGAATTAAATATTTTTGTTTTTTTTTTAATTCTTTTTATAAATCCAAACGGTCTTTTTATGTTATATTAAATAATTTTTAACTCTTATTACTATCTGTACTTTTAGATACTTAATTTATATCTTATTAAAAGAAATCATTTATACGTTCGTTTACATCTTTTTGAGGTTTTCGAAAATTTGAATAATCTAATATATATAAAAATTTATATTTATATTTATATTTAAATATATATATTATATTAATATATATATATATATATATATATATATATATATATATTTATATATATATTTTTTTACTTTAACTATTATTTGTACTCTTTACTAAATCTTAATTTTTGCTTCCTATTTAACTTCCAGTTAATTTTTTTTCTTTATCTATTTTTTAATTTTTGTTTTTTTTATTTTTTTTTTGTCTTTTTTAAAAAAACCAAATAAATTAGCGTTAGATAATCTTTTTCCTAATTCAGAACCTCCATCTGCAATTATAGAGTCTTTCTTATTGACTTCGCTTTTTTTCAAAACTGACATTTTATGTTTTTTTTAAATTTTTTGTTTTTTTTAAATTAAAAATATTAATTAAATATTTTTTTATTTTAAAAATTTATTATTTATTCTTTTTTAAAAAATTTTATTTAATAAAAAAAAAACATTAAACTTTATATATAATAATAATATTCATAACTTTTGTTTATAAAAAAAAAAATTAAAAAAGAACATTATTAAAATATAAAAAAATATAATATAATAATATATTAATGAATATATATATATATTTAATTAATTTAAAATTATATTTTTTTATTTTAAATAAATTTATATTTATATATTTTTTATGTAATATAAATTAATCAAAAATATTAAAAATTTAATCAATTGTAAATATATATTAAAAATGACTTTTTACTCATATTTTATATTTTCTTTTTTTTCTTAACACGAGCTTATATATACAAGTACAAGAAAAATAACCAAAACCCAATAAATTATTATATATTGCAAGTACTTTAAAATTTTGAATAATTAAATATATTTTTTGGAACAATTTTATATGTATGTTTTTTATTAAATTTTCAACAATTTTTTTTATATTATTAGTAGATAATTCTTTTAATTTTTTAAATTAAATAATACTTAAAATATGCAAACCTATAAAAGTATTGACTTTTAGATTTCAGAAATATTAATATAGTTGGGTATTCATAAAAATTAAAAAGATTTTAATGCAATAAATTATGTATAAATATTTTTCTTTTATCTTAGTTAATTTAAATTATTTATTTTTAATAATATGTATATAAAATTTTACTTATTTTTTTAGAAAAAAAAAAAAAAAAAGTAATTTATATTTTATTATGTGAATTTTTTTTATAAAATTATATAAATTTAATAATGATTTAATTAATTTTTATTATTACTTTTAATTTATTTTTAATTCATAATATCAAAACTCCATTAATATAAAATCTTTACTAATATTATATAATCTTTTGATTTTTATTATTTTCATAAAGAATTGTAAAAATATTTTAAAACTAATATTAATAAACTTTTATTTCATTTCTAAATAATAAGAATTTATAATTAAAATATATTTATATTAAATATTAAATTAATATAAATAATCAAATAGACAACATAATATAATAATTTTAAATTGTATTTTAAACCTTTAAATTTAATAAAAAAAAATTCAATAAAATATATTTAATAAAAAATAATTATTCATAATTTATTAAAATATGCTAATATTTCTAATTTATTATTATTTTCTTAATTATTATAATATTAAATAAATTAAGTTAATAAAACTATATAATATTATTTTTCTAATATAAAGGTAAAAATAATACATTTAATTAAAAAGAAATTTTTTATTTAAATTATAATCATATTTTTTTATTTTATTTTTTTTTTAAAAAAAAAAAATCAAAATTAAAAAACAAAATTTAAAAAAAAAAATATTTCAATAAATATAAAAATGAAGCGTCGTAATGCCAAAATATGTAAAATTAAAAAAAGAAAAATATTAGAAAAAAAAAAACTAAATTAAAATAAAATAAAATACGATATAGAGGATTATTAATTACAAAACAATCAAAAAATACAAACAGCGAAATTCGGAAACAAATCGAAATCCATATTAATATCTGGTGATGACAAAAACAACGTTTCAATATGGAAAATATCAAAAGATAAGCCTTTATTAGTAAAAATTAAATAAAAATAAAAAGTTAAATAAAAATAAAAAGCAATTTAATTACAACTAATCAGTAAATAACCAAGTTGAAGTAACAGCCGTTAACTTTAATCATTCAGATACTGAAATATATTCTGGTTCAAACCGAGGAATAATACATGTATGGGATTTAGAATCCTAAAAATGTATAAAAACTTCAAACAAACAAAAATAAAATAAAATAAATAAATATAGTATCATGTACATTAAAAGGACATACAGTAGCCGTAAATACAATATCAATTTTTCCTTTTGAAGAATAAAAACATTTAATAATGTCAGGATCATGTGATACGAATATAAAAGTATGGGATTTGCGTACCAAAATAGCCATAGCAACTTTAAAAGGGCATTAAAACATTGTCAATTGTGTCGCAGGTTCACCCGATAGTAAAATGATAGCCTCAGGAGGATAAGATGGGTTTGTTAAATTATGGGATTTATATTAAAATAAAGTTATTTAAACTTTCACTTTACATGATGGACCGATTACTTCTTTGAAATTTAATCCTATTGAAATGGCTTTAGCTAGTGCAAGTGCAGACCGAACTGTTAAATATTATGATTTGGATAATTTTTAATTAGTAAATTCTAAAAGAAAAAATATATATATAATTTAATTTTATTAGATTGGAAGTTCTAAACCTGAGGCAACTGCTATTTAATAAATATTGTTTAATGAAGATGGAAATTTAATATTTACAGCAGCACATGAAAGTTTAAAGGTAAGAAAACAAAGCAAAAAATGAAAAAAGCATGTATATATATTATATATTTAAAATCAAAAGGTTTGGAATTTAGAAAAAGAAGGAGGAATTTTAATAGATAATGTAGAATCATAATGGAGAGGAATTTTAGATTTAGAAATTTCAGATGTAGATGAAATGGTATTAGGAATTTCTTATTCAGCTTAAAATTTTTCCTTATGGGCTTGTCCATTAGCATTAATAAACATGGATCCGGAAAACCCTTAGGGTGCAAAAGTAACATAATCATAATAAAAATGTATGAAAATGCCATAAACATAGCAAAACTAAACGTATGAAAATAAAATCTTTTAAAATAATAATAATAATAATAATTCTTATTAGATTATACATTAGAGGGATTTAGAAAGTAATGATTTACATAATAATAGATGCTATTCTGAAATTTCTCATAATGCTAATAAAGTTGTAGATTTTTAAATTCCTTTACATAATAATAATAATCTTTTGAATATGAAAGAAATAAAATCATTTCCTGAAATTAAAGCATAATACTAATAATAGTAATATTAATAATAATAATAGTAGATTATATAAAATACAGCTAAAATATAAAATTAAAATAGCATTAGTCCTTAAAAAGATGAAAACATGCCTATAGAGGAAGATATAATAATACAAGAAGATGAATAAGAAACAATATAAAATAATAATAATAATAAAAATAATAATGTTTTAGAGTAATCGACCGTAAGCTAAACTGATAGTCTTATTAATAGTGTTAATTTTAATTCTATATTTGATGAAAAGCAGAATACAAATATTAAAAAAATCGATTTAATTAATGAAGTTATTAAAAAAAAAAAAAAAAAAAATAAAAATAAAAAAAAAAAAGATTTCCTAAGAACATTAAAAATTCAAATTACTAATGAATAATAGACTAAATTATATTAAACCAATACAACACTGGTGGAATTTAGGAAATTAAAAATCTTCGATATATGCAATTAATTAGTAATAAAAACATAAATAATAAAAATAATAATTATATATATGTGTATATATATATATTTATAAATCTATATATATATATATATATAAAAATAATATATATATATATATATATATATAAATATCATATAGATATATATAATAAATATATCATAAGATTATTTGAACCTTGCTATATAATGGATGCTTTAAATATGACTGTTAATATGAATAAATTATAGTATATTCAGAATGTAGAAGGAGCTACTATTTTACTATAGAAAAGTAAAATTTTAATTGTAAGTAAATATTAGGTTTGAAATTAAAATAAATAAATTCAAATTTAAATTAATTTATTATTTTAAAAAATAGTCTCATATTAAATTTGGTCTAGAATTTGCTAAAATGATACTAGATTAGTATAAAGATGTATTAATATTAAATTATAAATTTAATAAATATTTATATTATAGGAAATTATTAATATTAAAACTTTTAGTTTAATGAGTAAAGTAGATTTATCAAGAGAAGAAAGAATAAAAAAATATAATTTATTAATCGACGAATTTAAATCTATATATTAAATACAAAGAATTAAAAAAATAGCTGACAAAAAAAACAAAGAATTAGTAAATAAATAATAAAATTAATATATATTATTATTATAAAGATAGGATAAACTGCACTTTTACTTTTAAATGATTTAAAATAAATGTTTTAAAAAATAGAAAATTGAATAAAAATAAATAAATAACAAATAATTAATAAAAAAAATATATATATTATAAATTATATATATATATATTTATATATATATATTTATCTTTATTTATTTTTCATCTTAATTTAAATGGATTTATTTTTGTCATTTGATAATAATTATCCACAAAACTCGTAATTTCGCATGCTTTTACCGAATGATTTTTCATTTATTTTTAAATATGCTTTTTTTTATTTAAAAAATTAAATATATTTTTTATTAATAGCAAATTTACCAATTAATTTGAAAACCATCCTACTTCTTAATTTGCAGTTTAAGGGTAATTATATTTTTATCTTGGTACTAAAGTAACAGATTTTAAAGTTTTATCTAATTTTTCATTTGAAAAAGCTTCTTCAACTGGATCTTCTGTGAAATGATTTCCAAAAATTTCATTTGCGTCCTATTTTGTTCTATTTTGAACTCCTTTTTATCTTTTTAAATCTGAAGGAACAACCGCATTAGGTTTTTCAGCAAGGATATACACTTTTTAAAAAATATGTAAAATATCAGTTTTATTAATATAATATTTTTGTTTGTTTAAATTATTACTGTTATGTGGATTTAATTAAAAATAATCCATTTAATTTTTATCACAATATTACATTTCCTTAAGAATATTTTCTGTGTGTACTATATTACGATGTACTTCATTTAAACTACCCCCTAATCTTGAAGCTTTTGAATTCATTCTTTTAATTACAATATTATATTTTTTTTTTATTAATCTTTTTTCTTTTTTGTAGTTATAAAAATTTAAATTAATATTATATAAAAGAAAAAAGAAAATAATGTATTATATAAATAATATAAAATAAAGTGTTATTTTATTTTGTTTAATATTATTTTATATTTTTGATTAATATTTATTTATTTTTTATGTAAAATAAAAATATGATGAATGTATGATTATTATAATACTATATGATTATTTTTAAGTATTAATATATATTTGTATTTTTAAATATAAGATTATTTTTATTTAAATATATATAAAATAAACAATTATCTAAATATAATTATATAGTATTTTTAATGCATTTTTTATATTTTAATAATATGTTTTAGAAATTTCAATTTATTATCCTCTTTAATTTTATATATTTTTTAAAAATATTTATGTGATTTTTACTTTACATTATATATACAAATAAAGAACTAAATACACATATATATATACAAGGATCCATTTCCCTAAAATTTTGATTAAATTCTGTAACAATTAATTCTTATATAATCATCTTTGAATCTAAAAAAAGCATAATTTTGATATAAGTCAAAATAATTTGAAGGATTTATTTTTAAATCATAATTTTAATGTCTAATGAAATGAATTTTGTAACTAAAAGATTCAAAAAAATAATAATCTTTAAAGTTCTAGTCATGTATATAAAAAGAAGGAAAAATATCTTAAATATAATCGACTTCTATGTCTTATATATTAATTTTATCATTATTTTAGAAAATAATCTGATTTTATTTAGTTTATTTAGATTATTTTTATAAAAAAATTTGTTCTTTTTATACATAAAGAATTTATTATTTATGTTTATTTTTAGATTTTTTTATTTTACTAATAAAAATTTATATTACAAAAAAGGCAAAATTTCTAATTAAATAAAATAAAATATATATATATATATATATGTATATTAAATATGTAATTAAATTATTAGATTATAATTTAAATACATTAAAAAAATAAAATATTTCAAAATATGATAAAAGTAATAAAACAATTTTATACAAAAATATTTATTTTTTATCAATAAAATAATTATAAATTAAATATAATTAACTATTTTAAAATTTAATTTTTTTTTTTAATAAAAAATATCTTAATATTATGATTGAAATATAAAGATAAAATAAAATAAATAATTAAAAATTAATATGAACTTTATATTAAATTATAAATTGTTTAAAATATAGATTAAAATTAATTATTTAAATAAATTATCAATATCAAACAATTTATTATCATTATTTAAAATCTTTTTTTTAAAATAAAAGAAAACTAATAAATATTTAGTATATACATTTCAAACAAATAAAAAATAAAAATATATAAAAAATTTAAAATTTATTAAGAAAATAAATATATATATATATATATATATATATATATATATATATATATATATATATATATATATATTATTATTTTAAAAAAATAACAATTTAAATTATATATACACTTTTTAATCAAAAAAGTAAAAAAAATACTTTTAATTTAAAAATTTTAATATTAAAAATATATAATAAATATTAAATATATAAAATAAAAGGAAAAATTAATAATTATAATAATCTAAATATTTTTTATAAAAATGCAAAAACTTTTTTATAAATAAACTAAATTAAATAATTTATGTATTAAAAATGTAATTTTTTAAATAAAATTATTGTACTTAATATATATTTAGGATTTTAATTTTTATTATAATTTAATTTCAAAATCTTTTTAATATAATTAAATTTTATAATTTTTTATATATTATAATATCTTAATTATAATAATTTAATAATTCTATTCTTAATCTTATTATTTTGTATAAATAATTTAATAATAATAAATTATATTTATAATATTTAAGTATTATATAAATATAAAATCAATAATATATATTATAAATATTATTATTTTTTTCTTGCTTAAATTTTTTCTAAAAATAGTTTTATATTTTTTAGTAAATTTCATTTATTAAAAGAATACATAATAATAATCTTAAATTAATTTTTATTTATATTAATTAAAAAAAGCTATTTACAAATAAAAGCTTTAATATTATATTAAAAATAAAAATCAATTTAATTAATAAATAACATATGGTTAATATATATAAAAGAACAAAAAAATCAAATAAATATATAAATTTGTAATATTATACCGAGTTTTACTTAATATTACTTTTATATATATTTGTATTCCATTTTTAAAGTATTTAAATTAATAAACCGTAATAATCATATCTATAAATATAATTATGTTTATAATACATATTTACCTATAAAATGAGTATAATAATAGACATTTTTTTTAAACATTTCTTTATTATTATTACTTCTACAATTAATATTCTTTAAATAGCTCTAAATCTTATTAAAAACTCAATTTACTAAATAATCAGAACAATTTTTTAATTAATCTGAATAAAAATTAAATATGAAATTTTATTCTTTATTATTTCAATCAAATTTTTCTTGAATCTATTAAGAAGGTAAAATAATTTATTTTTTATTTAGTTATATATCTAAAAGTATTTATATCGTATATATATATATTTTTTTTTCAATTTATATCTTATTTAATATATATAATGGCTTTATTTTTGATTGATTCTATAATTTCTCCTCTTAAAATTAATTATATTCATAAAAATTCAAATTTTGATAAAGCTAATTAATTTCATTAATATCACAAAATAATTATTTTTGTTTGTTTGTTTTCCTAAAGCAGTTTATTTAATTTTTTGAAAAATAATACTTTTAAATATATTTTTATTTATTATAAATATAGGTGTTTTACATTTATTTTTATTTTTTTCATATATTTATAGAATTTTTATTTTGGTTTAATTATATAAAAATTTTTCATTAATAAATTGATGTTTATTATTTGCCAAATATAAGTATCTTATTAAATATTAATATATTTTGGCTATTTCTATTAAGATTTTGTTATAATAATTAGCACAAAATTAAATAAAAAAATTATATAATAAAATATTAATATATAAATCAGTAAACATAAATAATTTTTTTTTTAAAAAAAAAAAAATTAAATTAAAAATAATTATATATTTTATTTTAAATATATTTAGCATTATAATATAAATAAATATACTATATAAATAAATGTCATATGTAAATCATATTTAAATATATTCGAAATTCATTTATTTTTATAAAAATTCTATAAAAAGATTCAGGCTTAAAATAAAAAGTTATTTAAATTCAGATTAAAAAAGAAAGTTCAAACCAATTAATTTAAAAAGTAAATTATATTAAAATATAAATAAAAAAGAAGATTCTAATCCAAAGATAATATAAAGAAACAATTAAATGATAAATAAAAGCAAATACTAAATTGAAAACAAAGTTTATACTACAATCGAAAAAAATAATTACTTTGCTGATAAATATGAAAATTATGAATATAATAATTAAAAAACTGATTCTCATAATTCTGAATATAATAGATACAATTAAATAAGTACTAAAACAATCAATTCTTCTCCAATAAATGCATTTGATAGGTAAAAGTTTACTTTTTTTTGTTTATTTTAATAAAAAAAAAAAAAAGAAGTTTTTACTATGAAAAATAAAACCGAAAAAAACTCGACTTTTAAAAAATGAAAGAAGAGATAAATATAATATTGTAAAAAAAAAAAAAAAAAAAAAAAAAATTATACAAAAAAAAAAAAAAAGTGAAAATAATTAAGCTAAAAGTAATAAATAATAAGAATTAAATTATTAATTATAAACATTAAATGCAAAACTTTAATTAGTAATGGAAACTAAAAAAAGTTTTTTTGAAACAAATAATAATAAGAATTAGCATTTATATAATTCTTAAGAAAAATTATATAAATAAAGCAAAAAAATAATCAAAAAATTATCTTAAAAAAAGTCAAGAAATTCTTCGTAAACTTCAAAATAAAAATATGATTCTTAAACTGATTAATAAATATTTAATTAATTATTTATAAATAATAATAATAGTGATAATTAAATAGATTTATTTAAAGGAGGCTAAATAGAATAAAAAACATTAAATATAGTTAAATATGATACCATTTTAGACAAAAATAATCAGTTTTAAACTATTACAAACTCCATGAAAAAAAGAAAAGAAAATTTAATATATGAAAATGAAATTTAAATAGAGAAAAACTTAATAAACTAAAAAATATAAAATAAGGTGAAATTTGATAGCAAAGAAACAACTGAAATTAATGAAAATTTATAAAATAAAGAAAAAGATTATTTTAATGAAAATAATATTTAATCTTAAGAAAAAAATGAAAAGATTTAATAATAGAAAGAAAAAAATCATATTGATGAAATAATAGAAAAACCTATTTAAGAATAATTTTATTAGCAAAATGAAATTTTAAAATAAAATACTTAAGAAACTTAAATTTAATAGAATATTCCTAAAAAATAAAATAAATTAATAAATTTCTAAAGTATATAATTATAAAGAACACCTTTAGAAAATTCAAATATAAATGATCATATAAAATAAATTCAAATATAAAAATAATAAGAATATTAATAAATAGAAAAAAATACATAGCTATAAGAATAAATATAAAATTATCAATCAGAAAAAAAAAATACTAATTAGAATTAAAATAAAGAATAATAGGCTTAAATTTAAAAGAATATATCATATTCATAAATAGAAAACAATATTTTAATATAATACTAAGAAAATGACAAATAAGACCCTTATGATATTTTATTAAATACTTTTCCTATTCAAGTTATAAATAATTTTTAATAATGTTTAAGAAATGTTTCATAAAACTAAGTCAAATAATTACCTATTGAGTATATATTTTTTTTTGTTAAAAATAAATAAATATATAAATAATAGATATGCAAAAGAAATTGTTAATTTAGCTTTTGAAATACTTTAGTCTGTTAAAAATAGTTGTCCATAGGTTAATGATGAATGAAAAAAAATATTAATGATATTATTTTTTTAACAAACAAACAAAACAAAACAAAACAAAAACTTTTGGTAAATATTTATTTATAAGATGTAAAAGGTAAATTTATATTTTATTAAAATATAAGAATTTGTAATTTTTTTTTTAATTCCATATATAATACAAATAATAATAAAATTAATTTTAAATTAACATAATTACTTAAAAATAAAATAAAAAAAATATGATATTAATTAGTAAATAATAAAAAAACACAAAGAAAATATTCATTTATTAATAATATTATTTGAAAATTATTTTTTATAAATTTTTGGAGAAGTAAAAGATTTTGTACTTGCAAAAAAGTTTTATTTATTCTAATTGTTATTATTATTAGTAGAACTAGGTCCCTATATATTAAATTAAAAGTTCGGTTTATTATTATTACTATGTTTTGTAGTATTAGATCCATATATATTAAACCCCATATTCTACATATTCTAAGATTTCTAAAACTAAACCGAGAAATTGCTTTTTCTATTTTATTATTTATTCTCAGATAAAAAATTCGAAAAATCCAAGACCTTACTATTCCCATTAAGATTATTATATTAAATCATAACTCTTTTTAAAGATTCATTCGGTCCATCATCAATATACGATTTATAATTTTTTTTAAAAAATACGTTTAAAATATTATTCTTATAATTATTTTAACTTTCAATATTTTCCGTATTAATAATTGAAGTATTATAAGACTAAAATTCTTTTTTATTTTTTTCATTTTCAATTTAAATCTTAAATTCTTTTGTCATATTTTCTATTTAATAATCAGTTTTTATAGGTGATCCAATATTACTTTTGGAAGAATATAATCCTGGTTAATTTTTAAAAAAATACTAAGCTTAATTAAATTATTATTCAATAATTTTTTAATTTTAAAAGGGAATAATTTAAAAATCTTTCATTAGAAATTTAAGACTTCTCCATTTATTTTAAACGAGATTCCCTATATTTTTTACCTGGAGAATTAAAAATTTAAATATTCTAATCGTCAATATCTTCCAGAAGTTTTATTTAAATAGTAGCATGTTCAAATATTTTGTTATTTTTAAAATTCTCTTCAGTTTTATATTTATTTATTTAAACTTTTGATATTTCATTATTTTTTTCCTCTATTTTTTCTTCTTCTTTTTTAATTTATTAATTTTGGTATTTCTTATATATATTTTTTATTAATTCTTCTTATTATTACCCTCCATTTATTTAAGAGTTTAAACTAAAACTTTAGTTAAGTTTTTAATTATTTTTTTTCTAACTAATTTTACTTAATTACTCACTTAAATTTTCCGTTTATTAAATTCCTTGTGGTGTATTATTCTCATTTACTTATTTTAACTTTAATTTATCGACTCCATAATGCCTTAAAATATCTTAAAAAAGATTATATTTATAAATAATACTCACTTTGTTTTCATCTTCTTATATTATTTTTTACAATTCTTCCGCTAATTAATAAAATTTAACATTTTTTATTTCAAAAAACTTCATGTTTTTCCAATTCTTTTTAAATTATTCTATTTTCTACCTTATATTCTATAAAAACTCATAGTCATTTTTTCCTCTTTTAATATCACATATATCACCAATATCATCTAAATATTCCTTGATAGTATTTATCATTTTTCTAAAGTCTTTTTTTATATTATTCTCGTGTAAATTAAAATATTTCATTAATTTCTCATCGGCAGGATCTTATTGAATAACATCTTTTACACTCAAAAAATATTTTTTATCTAAAAAATAAATATAAATTTACTTTTTTTTTTTTCTTATATAATAATATATTTATTTATTTTAATTATTAAAAAAATACCCATTTTATAATTAGGAGGTCCAAAATGCCATCCTTTTTAAATAACATAATTTGGCATTTTTTTCACATTTAAAATTCTATAATGAGCTGGTCCATTTATTTGTTTTGTAGAATCTGATTAACAAATTTATTTTTAAGTAAAATGTATTGCTTATTTTCTTTAACATCCTTATTGTCTTAATTTTAAAAAAACTATAGCATCTTTTTCTGTTTGATTTATTATTTTATGATTACCTTTAAATTTCATACAAGGCATATTAACTGCATTATTATTGATCATAAATAATAATATTTATTTTTTAATTAATATAATATTAAATTTTTATGTTTTTATGAATATTATTATTGTAAAAATTTTAATTTTTATTTAAATTTAATATTATAAAAAAATAAATATTAATTATATTATAAAAATTTTTTAATAATATATAGATTTTATTCATAATGATTCTTTTCTAAAATTAATCACATCTTCATCTCCTGAGGGAATATACCAGTTTTTCTTCGACAAAAACCTACTTTTATATCCTTTTTCATCCGTAACTTCCCTTTTAATATTCAAGAAATCCGGAATTAAACACATTTAATTTTCATCCTACATTTTAACCTTTAAGGTACTAAATCCTTCCTAAATATTAATATAAGTATCAATAACATAAGATAGTCCTTCCCATATAAAGCAAAATCTTTATTTTAAAAGCGGTTTTCTATTTTTATCAGTTAACTAAAGATAAAACAAATATTCTTTAAAATTTAATTATCTTTTATTTTTTCCTACTATAACCCCATTTTTAAACTCACTTTAAGACCAAATATATATATATTAAGATAACCACCCTCTTCTTCTAACTTTAGTATAAATTTTATGCTCCGGTCCTTCTAAATAAAGTGAATGTTAAATAAAATTATCTTCAATAAAGAACTTTAAAACCTTTAAGTCTTCAGGAAACTAAGGAGTCAAAAATTCAGTATCTAAAAGGAATTTTTTATGTAATTCTTTCAACTAAGCCGGCAAACCGACTGCTTATCTTATAATTGTGACTACTTTATTTAGTTTTTCTTCAAAATTTTTAACAGAATAATTATCAACTAATTTAAAATATGGATGTCCTAACCAGGCTATTTATAATTTTCTATCTACACAAATAGCCTCTTAAGGAGATTCGTGTCTAGCATTATTATTTTTATTATAGTATTACACAGCTCCATCTGCAGCAGTTATAAGATGTATAACACAATCATATCTTTAAAAAATAAATTATATATATATATTATTATTATATATATATATAAATATATATATATATATATATATTTATTTATTTATATATATATAAATATATAAATATATACCTTCTATCTCTAACTTATACTTCATCAATATTCATTTATTTAAGCATATTATTCCATAAATTTAATGGTAAATAAGCACTACCATCCATTAATCCCCTATCACATAAAATAATGGCTTTTTACTTAGATAGCTTAGCAATTCCATAGAAAGTATCTTCTAATTAAACTTAAGATCTCATAAGGGCTTTTTAAAAATTAATACTTTACTAATCATCATAAGTTTACATTTAAATCATCCCTCCTCCATTAGCTATTATAGTGGAAGTTTCGGGTACTGTAAAAACATTAAAGCCTTCATCTCTTAATTTTTCAGAGACTAAGACTAAACAGGATGTTTTCCCTGCACAAGGACCACCTGTGATGCATATTTTAAATATTTTATGTTCTTCTTTTTATTCTATTTAGATATTACTTTCATCGTTATCGATTTTTATATTTGTAAGAGATATCATTTTATTTAGGTTTTCTTCAATTTATGATTATGCTTAATGATTGTTTTGTAGCTTTTTTTATTTTAAAGTCTATAATAATATATTATATTAAGATTATGTTTAGTCGATTTGATTTAATTTCTTGTTTGTTAAAAAATAGGCGATGGCTGTTGTTGAACTTATCGCTAATATTTTTGTGATAAAACTTAAGTCTATGTTTGTAGAAATAGTATTTGGCATTTTTTTATATATTTTTCTTTTTTTAAAAAAAAAATATAATATATGTATCAACAGAGAATTTAAGTTTTTTTTTTTTTTTTTTTCAATTTTCAATTTTTTTATATTTATTTTATTTTTATATTTATTTTTTTTTTTTTTCATTATTTGAATTTTTCTATATGTTCTTCCAAAATTTCAATTGCTTTAGTTTTTTCTTGTAGTTTTTATTGTATTTGAATAATATTTTATTAAGTTTATTAAAATTCCTTATTAAAATCTTCTATTTATCTTTTTTTTCTTTTTAAATCAGCCTAAACCTCTATTTTTTATCCTTCTAGTATTTGTTTTTCCTCCATTAAATAATATTTTTACACTTAATAATCATTTTAGGAGCAATTGTTTTTATTTAAATCGATTTAAGAAAGATTTTTTTACCGAAAAACCTAATTTTTATCCCTATTAGTATTATAAAACTAAATATTTTCATTTAATTTTTAAATATTTTCTGTTCTTAATTTTTCGTGTATTTATATGGAATTGATACATTAATTTTTCAAAAAAGAATATAAATCTTCTTCTGAATAATTTGACATTTATTTATTAAAAAAAAAAAAAAAAATTAATATTATAAATAATTATATATATAAAATAATAATAATAAGTATATCATTATTTTATTTAATCATAAATAATGTCTTTATATGGTTTTTTAAACTAATATCTTTTCTCTATAGACTATAATTCAGAGTTTATTAATCCAAATTTTTTTATTTCTTTAAAAATTTAACCTTTTTCTTCTTTAGATTTACTTAAACTGCTTAAATTATTGCACGAATAAGACTTTTTTTCTATTAAACTCAAAGAATTAAACGAACAATCGGCTTATTAAATATATTTTTACTCTTATAATTACATATTTTAATCTTAAAGTTACTTAATGACATTAATAATTTCCAAATTATACATTTTTAGGTTCTCATTTTCTTAAAGTAAGCCTTAAATATATTATTTTTATTAATGAAGTGCCTAATTTAATTATTCTATATCTTTTAAATACTAAGTGTTGGCTTAAGATAATTAATTTATCAAAATATCATATTAAGAAAGTGTTTCTTGATTAAATTGATTTTTTTTAAGTTAGTTTATTTCCTGTTCATATGAAAAGGAGATTTTTTTAATATTTTCTTGATTTTCAAGTAAAATTTAGTGTATTTTTTGGTTTTCATTTTGAAGTAATTTTTCATATTCTTCATTTTATTTTTATAAAAAGGGAATTTTTTCATTTTCATTTTTAAGAATTTTTTAATATTTTTCATTTTAATTTTATAAATTTTCGATTTCATTTTATTAATTTTTTTGTATTTTTTCATTTTCTTTGATTTATTTTTATAATTTTTAAATATTTTTATATTCATTTTTTGCATTTTTTATTATTTTTTCTTATTCTTCTTTTATTTTTAAAAGGTTTTATATTTATTTTTATAAGAAACATATATTTTCTTATTATTAATTTTCATTTTTTTCATATTCTAGTATTTTGTTTGATAAATCTTCTTATTCTAAATGTTTATTTTTTATTATTTATTCTTATTTATTGTTTATATTAACTAATTCTTCTATTTTTTATTAAAAAATTTAAATTTTTTGTTAGTTTTCTTATTTGAAATTATTAATTATTTTATCTTATTCTTCAATTTATTTTTATAAAATAAAAATCTATTTTTCTTCCAAATCTTTATTATTAAATAGTAAAATTTCCTCTTTTTACATAATTTAAATCTCTTTCTTTAAACTTTCATTTTCTTTTTAAACTTCCTCCATTTTTTTTTCTATAATTTACATTTTTTCTATTTAAATATTTTATTCTTTTTATTTAATTAAATAATTTTAGTATTTTTTTGTATTTTCTTCCATATTTTTTATTTTTTATTGTTAATTTCTAATAATGATTTACTATTTTTATATTAATTCCTTTTTTTAGTTTTAATTTTCTGGTTTTTCATGATTTTTTTCTTAAAAATTATTTAATTATTCCTTAAATTTTTAAATCTATATATTACTTTATAAATTCTATTCTTGATTCTTTTATTAGAATAATTTTTTCATTTAAGAAATCTCACAAACAGATATTATTTATTTTTCATAGTTTTTCTTTGATATTAATTTTTTATCTAATTATTTTAATTAATCCTTGAAAAATTCTAATTACATCTCATGTTTTACCTATAATTTCTATATAGATCTATTTAAACTTTTGTTTGTTTCGTCAATTTATTTTTAGCCACTTAATTAAGGCTTTTATTAAAAATATTAATTCAAAGAAAAATGTTTCTAAAGATTTCCATTTTAATTTAAGCTAAATTTTTCTTTTACTTATTTATCAGGAGTTGTCTATTAAGTTTTTGAAAAAAATTACTATTACTCTAAAATTTTAGATTAAGGAATTTATGATTGATAGATATTCTATGTTAAACTTTTTTCATTTATCTAATTACAACAGGATATATAAGAAATATTATTCTAATAAAAAAATTAATATAATAATATATAAAATATATTATTAAGAGAATAAAATAGTATACATAGAAATAAAATATATTAAATTATAATCATATATATAAATATATATAAATAAATAATAAATATATATTTATATATATATTTATATAAATTAATAATTAAATTTTTTTTATATTTTTATATTTTTATATTGTTTTCATTTTTTTCATCTTTTTTTTATTTTGTTTTAATTATTTTTTTTTAAATCATTATTAAATTTTATGACATTCCTATTCTTTCATCAATTAATAAATAAAACAAATATAAAAAGTCTTAAAAAGTAATTTATATTTATATAATTATATTTATACGTATATTTTATATTTTTTATACCTTTTTTGTTATTATATTTTATTAAATTATTTTATTGTCGTTAATTTTACTATATTTTTTATTTAATATTATATTTATTTATTTTTTACTATTTCTATTCATTTATTTTTTATTAATAATCATTTAACGTTTTTTTATAATATTAATATTTTCTTCTTTTTATATTTTTTGGTTTTTATTAAATTTACAATTAAACTCATTATTTTAAAAATCATTATTTTATTCTTTTTTATTTTTAAAAATAGTTTATTTAATTTTATATATTTTTTGTGTTTATACATATTAATGAAATAAGTTCACTTTTATTAATTTAATTCTAATATTCATTTTTTTAAAAAAATATATATTAAATATTTATGTATTATAAATAAATACATTTTAAAGCTACATTTTTCACTTTTTTTTAATAAAATAAAATATTATTTAAATAATAAAAATATAATTATTGTTTATATAATAATATATTTAATAATTTTTATTATATATTTTTTTAATAAAAATTCCAATTTAAAATTATAATATATAATAATTATTTGAATATATCAAAATATATAAAAAATATTAAAATTTAAAAAATTATTAATAAAAAAACATACTCTCAAATAAAATATATAAATAAAAAAAAATTAATTAATAAAAATTAAAAAAATACACACACATAAATATAATTTTTTTTTTTTACAATAATAAAATAAAATTATCAATTGATTCCCCATAACTATTCATAAGAATTCATCATTCTCGATAAGCAATATCCTGCCGAAAGTCCATATTTCGAAATACAGATATTATCATCTGTATAATCAACTTCCATAGCCGGATCCCCTTTACTAACTCCTCCTACAATAAAAACTGCTGGTTAATTATTTGGTAATTTCGAAATAAATTCTTTAAAATCAACCAACCTTCCTTTTACTGAAAGTCCTATTTTAGGCGCATTATTGGGTAAATGTACTGTAATTGGATTTTTAATAACTTTAAGTAAAGTTTCACTACTCTAAATTGCCCTAATTTTAAGTTTTGATAATAACTAAGCAAATAAAGCCGCAAATCTTTTATATGTTCTTGGAATTTTAATATTGGGTGAAATTTCAATCAAAACATTAGACTCTGTATGTATATAAACTTACAAAAACCCAGCTTTATTTAAAGGTGAATCCAACATAGAAAGCAATGAATGATGTATAATATCAGGTCTATATGTAGAAAAATCCCTTTTTAATTTTCTTGATATATAGTTTTTATGATCATCGGAATTTAAAAGGACAATATCGCCCCCTATTTTGGCTGTTTCTAATGGACATTTTTCTAATATAACTATTACTTTTCGTTTATCTTTTATATCGTCTTTAGTAAGGAAATCATCTTGATCTTATACTTCTTTTTCTTACTATTCTTCTTATTCTTCTTTCGAAGGATTTTCTTATACTTTTTAATTTTTTTAGACATTTTTTTATTTTTTAGTTTTTTTTATACTTTTTTATTTTTATATTTAATTTTGTTTTTTGTTTTTTTAATTTTTTGTTTTTTAAAAAATATTTTAAGTTTTTTTTATGATTTAAATTTTTTTATTTGTTGATATTATATATTTTTATTTTTTTGAAAAACATTATATATTTTTTTTTTTATGAATACAAATATTTTAAATGAAAATGAAAAAACAAGAAATAATTTAGAATTATTAATATAAGATAATAAATATGAAAAATTAATTTAAAGTTTATTTTAAAAAAGTAAAGATTTAAAGGAAAAATATAATCAAGAATTTATAAGATCTTATATATAAAACGAATTAATTTTATTTGAAAAAGAATTTTCTTAATATACAGAAATCACAATAATAGATTTTATTTATGTTTTTATAAAAAACATTTAAATAAATTTAATAGAAAATATATATTTAATAATTTAATTAATAGAATTTTATTAAAAAATTGCATTTTTTTAAAAAAATAAACCTAGTTAGTTTGTATAATTTCAAGATATAACATTATTTATAGTAT